AAGCAACCTATGCAACATTTTCACCCATAAAATTAAAGCAGGCAGGGATATATCCGGGAATTTAAAAGAAAATTTAAAGTGGGATGAGGGGAAGCAATTAAAAGCAATTCCCCTCTTTCCTTCACCTAGTCCTAGAACAGAGGTCTTCAAACTTGGCAACTTTAAGACTTGTGGACTTCAACTCCCAGAATTCTCTAGCCAGCATAGCATAGCTGGCTGGAGAATTGTGGGAGTTGAAGTCCACAAGTCTTAAAGCGGCCAAGTTTGAAGACCTCTGTCCTAGAACTTCCCAACTGCCTTATTCTGTTGTAAGGTACCTTTTGAAAGAGTTAAAACCACAAAGTGTCGTCGCCTAGAGCAGCCCGGAAGCGTGAGCGGCGGCGGCGGCGCGCATTTCCCTTTCCTGTCCATTCCTCTCCTGCTGGGAGGAAGTGGCAGCCGCCAAAGCCTGTCGGATTGTCTGAAGTCGGGCGCTGGAGGAGGAGGGGGGGAGGGGCGGCCCGTTGGCGGGTCCTCCGCTTGGCAGACGGTGAGTTTCGGCGAGGCGGCGAAACGGGAGGAGACTGGGCGGGACGGGCCTGCAGCGAAGGGGTGGGGGAGCTTCCCCCCCCCCCAAAAATCCAGTGCATTCCAATTCTATAGGATGCAGAGCCCATCCTTCCCAGCCCCGCTAGCTGGAGGTGATGGGTTTTGTAGTCCAGCTCTCCCCTCCCTTCCCCAATCCTGACAGGGCGCCGGCTGAGGTGGGCGCGTATTGAAAGGAGTGAGGATCGCCCCACACTCCAAAGAAAGAAAGTCCCACCCTAGTGACCCCTTCTTCAAATACTTTGCTGGGAGTGATTCCCTCCCCCCCCCCCATTAGTACACCAGGTTAAGAAACCAATCTCGTGTAATTCAGGACTGCTGTTATTGTAACAGCTACATTAGGACAGAACGTCACTGATGTATAGAATAGAATAGGGATAGGGAATAGAGTAGCAATAGAAATAGGAATAGAATAGGAATAGCATAGCAATCGAACAGCATATCAATAGCAATAGAATAGCAATAGAGGAGCAATAAAATAGGAATAGCATTGCAATAGATAGCAATAGAAATAGCAATAGAATAGGAATAGCAGCAATAGAACAACATAACAATAGCAATAGAATAGGAATAGAATAGCAATAGATAGCAATATAAATAGCAATAGAATAGGAAGAGCATAGCAATCGAACAGCATAACAATAGCAATAGAGTAGCAATAAAATAGGAATAGAATAGCAATAGATAGCAATAGAAATAGCAATAGAATAGGAAGAGCATAGCAATAGAACAGCATAACAATAGCAATAGAGTAGCAATAAAATAGGAATAGCATAGCAATAGATAGCAATATAAATAGCAATAGATTAGGAATAGCAGCAATCGAACAGCATAACAATAGCAATAGAATAGCAATAGAGTAGCAATAAAATAGGAATAGAATAGCAATAGATAGATAGCAATATAAATAGCAATAGAATAGGAATAGCATAGCAATAGAACAACATAACAATAGCAATAGAATAGCAATAGAGTAGCAATAGAATAGGAATAGACTAGAAATAGCATAGCAGTAGATTTAAAAACAATAGAATAGCATAGCAATAGAGTAGCAATAGCAATAGAAGAGAACAGCAGTATCATAGCAATAGAATAGCAATAGCACTTAGATTTATATACAGCTTCACAGTGCTTTACAGCCCTCTCTAAGCAGTTTACAGAGTTAGCCTATTGCCTTCTACAATCTGGGTCCTCATTTTACCCACCTCGGATGGATGGAAGGCTGAGTCAACCTTGAGCCTGGTGAGATTTGATCTGTCAAATTGCTGGCAGCTGGTGATCAGCAGAAGTAGCCTGCAGTACTGCACTCTTAACCACTGCGGTTCTATACAGGTAGACTTTAACTTACGACTACAATTGAATTCAAAATTTATGTTGCTAGGTGAGAAATTTAAGTATAATTTTGCCTCGTTTCACGACTTTTCTTGCCAATATTTGTTAATTGAATTAGGTACCGCAGTTGTTAAATTAGTAGCACCATTGTTAAGTGAAACTGGCTTCCCCATTGACTTTGCTTGACAGAAGGTCGCAAAAGGTGATCACATGACCTCAGGACACTGTGACAGTCGTAAATGCGAATCTGTTGTCAAGCATCCGTATGTAAATCATGTGACCAAGGGGATGCTGCAGTGGTCATAAGTGTGAAAAATGATCATAAGTAACTTTTTTCAGTGCCGTTTGTTAACTAAGTGAACTACTGTAAATCGAGGACTACCGGTAGCATAACAATAGAATAGAATTAGAATAAATTCTTTATTAGAAGAAATGATGAAGATGACGATGACAATCCTCTTTGGCTGCTGTGTACTTTAATTTTTCTTTTTTTCTTTTCGGATTTTACGATGGGAATCAATTTGCAGATTGTTCACTGCCCAGAGTCCCTTGCTGAGGTGGGAGACATACAAACCGAATGCATGAATAAATAAATTTGTTTTATAGAGACGCTCATCTCACATACGAGACTCTAGGTGGCTTACAGTAAAAAAATAAATAAAAAATAGATAAAATGCAGAATATACCAATAAAAGACATTGCCGCCCGGCCTGCTGTATCTTCGTCTGTCGGTAGGCTGGCCGGTTTTAGCACACTGTCATACTAGCAACATAATAAAAGCAGAAGTGGTTGGGTGACAAGAATAGTATGTGAGGTACAAAGGAAATATGTGAGGTACAAAGGAAAGGCAAGATAACGTTACCTTTGCTTGCATAGACCAACATCAAGATTATGCAATGATGCTATTGCCTAAAGCCACTTAGCAGCCGAATAAGGAGAAAGCACTATTTCTTTACAGTTGCTTCTTCCACTTTGCAGAAATACTGCAGGATTTCTGTTGCTCTTTTTTCCCCATTTCTGTGAGTAGGCAGTGGGGTACCCCAGGGTTTTATCTTAGTCCCAGGACTCTTCAACAGCTTCATAAATGGTTTAGATGAAGCAATAGAAGGGTTATTTATCAACTTTATAGATGATATCAAGCTGGGGGGGAAAGAGCCCAAGATCTAAAAAAAAAATCTTGACAGACTTGAACACGGGTGGCAAGAAAAACCAAATGCCCTGATATAGAATAGGAATTACTAGCTCAACAGCAGTAATTGTTAGAGAGATCTAGAAGTCCTAGTGGACAACCACTTAAATATGAGCCAGCAGTGTGTTGCAGCTGCCAAAAAAGCTTAGGCTGCATCAACAGAGATAGCATCAAAATCAGATACAGTAGAACCTCTGGTCATGAACGCTTCTGACCATGACCAAATTGGATTTTTTTGTAAGCGCCAACGTGTGGCCGCTCCATTAATTTTGGTTAGGTTCGGGTCACGACCAAATCGGGTTGTGACCAAAGTTATGGAACGAATTATGGTCGTGACCCAGAGGTGGGTTTCAGCAGGTTCTGACCAGTTCTGGAGAACCGGTAGTGGAAATTTTGAGTAGTTCGGAAAACAGGTAGTAAAAATTCTGATCGGCCTCTTCCCCATCTATTCTCTGCCTCCCAAGTCCCAGCTGATCAAGAGAAAATGGGGATTTTGCAATACCTTCCCCTGGAGTGGGGAGGGAATGGAGATTTTACAGTATCCTTTCCTGCCATGCCCACCAAGCCATGCCCACCAAGCCACAGCATGCCTACCAAGCCACACCCACAGAATCGGTAGTAAAATTTTTTGAAACCCATCACTGTCGTGACCAGAGGTTCTACTGTAGTAGCCATGGTGGCGCAGTGGTTAAAATGCAGTACTGCAGGCTACTACTGAAGTTTGGCAGTTCAAATCTCACCAGGCTCAAGGTTGACTCAGCCTTTCATCCTTACGAGGTGGGTAAAATGAGGAGCCAGATTGTTGGGGGCAATAGGCTGACTCTGTAAGCCGCTTAGAGAGGGCTGTAAAAACACTGTGAAGCGGTATATAAGTCTAAGTGCTATCATGGGAAGTGTTACTCCTGCTTTATACTGCTTTGGTAAAGCCACATTTGGAATACTGCATTCGGTTTTGATCACCACAGCCAAAAAGATGTTGAGACTCTAGGAACTAGAGTGCAGACAAGAGCAACAAAGACGATTAGGGGACTGGGGGCTAAATCATATGATGGTGTTCTTTGAATGCAGGTAGTCTTTGATTTATGACCACAAATGAGGTCAAAATTTCTGTTGCTAAGCGAGGCAGTTAAGTGAATTTTGCTCCATTTTACGACCTTCCTTGCCACCGTTGTTAAGCGAATCACTGCAGTTGATTGAATCTGACTTCCCCATTGACTTTGCCTGTGAAAAGGTTACAAAAGGTGATCCCGTGACCTTGGGACACAGCAACGGTCATAAGTAGGAACCAGTTGCTGAGCCTCTGAATTTTGATCCCATGATCATGGGGATGCTAACAAAGTGGGAAAAATGGTCCTAAGTCACTTTTTTCAAGTGTGGTTGTAACTTTGAACAGTCACTAAATGAACTGTTGTAAGTCAAGGACTACCTGTATGTGAGCGGTTATCACAAAGAAGAGGGAGTCAAGCTATTCTCCAAAGCCCCTGAGGGCAAGACGAATACTAATAGATGGAAACTTATCAAAGAGAGAAGTAACCTAGAATTAAGGAGATATTTCCTGTCTGAACAATTAATCAATGGAACAGCTTGCCTTTAGAAGTTGGGGGTGCTCCATTACGGAGGCTTTTAAGAAGAGATTGGACAACCGTTTTCCTGTAGTGATATATGGTCTCCTGCTTGAACACGGGGTTGGACTAGAAGACCTCTAAGGTCTCTTCCATTCTGTTTTGGCACCCACCCCAGTCATTTTCTTATGGGGTTAATCGCCACCTGGCACCCTCTGCTACTCTCCTTTCTGATAACACTTTCCTTCCTGCCACAATTTCCTTTTGTTGTTTTATGCCATCTTTGGGTACATACTTTTCCTGTCTCCTTTCCACAAGTTGTTTCTGCGGCTGATCTTCAGTTGTGACTCCCCAGGGTGAGAGAAATGCATTTCCTGGGCTACACGGTGAAGATTTTTCCTGACCTCAAGTAAGCATTTGTAGGGTTTTGCTTATCAAGACAGGCCTATATAGTAAAATAGAATAGAATAACAGAGTTGGAAGGGACCTTGGAGGTCTTCTAGTCCAACCCCCTGCTCAGGCAGGAAACCATTTCAGACAAATTATGGTTCAATCTCTTCTTAAAAACTTCCTGCGTTGGAGCATCCACAATTTATGGAGGCAAGTTGATTAATTGTTCTCACTGTCAGGAAATGTCTCTTTAGTTCTAAGTTGCTTCTCTCCTTTGCTTCCACCCATTGCTTCTTGTCCTGCCCTCAGGTGCTTTGGAGAATAGCTTGACTCCCTTTTCTTTGTGGCAGCCCCTGAGATATTGGAACAGTGCTATCATGTCACCCCTAGTCCTTCTTTTCATTAAACCAGACATACCCAATTCCAGCAACCGTTCTTTATATGTTTACTTGACTAGGATTGGTACTGTACAGATCATAGAGAAGGTGTTGTCCTTCTCCATGATGAAAATGAGAAAAAGAGGCTTTCTTGGAGCCTGGGGAGGGTGGAAATAGCCTTCCTCACCCCCCCAGAGGCCCTCTGGAGGCCGGAAACAGCCCGTTTGCCGACTTAGGTGGGACTGGAAGGCCTGTTTTTCACCCTCCCCAGGCTCCAGAGCCTTTCTAGAAGCCCGGGGAGGGCAGAAACGGCCTTCCCCACTCCCCACCAGAGGAGTAACTCTATTATATCTTCCTTTTTCTCCCCCTTTTTTTAAATTTTAAATTGAAATTTTAATTTGTTTTAAATTTATTGGGATTTTAATTGTCGAGGGCTAAATTATTTAATTTGGTTTTAAATTGTTTTTAACTTTTGTATTTCTGTATTTTATCCTGTGCCTGTTCACCGCCCTGAGTCCTTCGGGAGTAGGGCGGTATACAAATTTAATAAAACTAAAACTAAACTAAACTTAAGATCAGGGAGCAGTAGCATGGGGGCAACCATGCAAAAATGCTAAAAGTTGCATCTGCTTTAATTGGTTCCTGCTAAACATTTCACCCCTCAAGAGTCCAGATGGCGCAAACAACCCTCATATCTGTCCTTTTCCAGAACGGTAGGATGGAAGCATCTGAAATAAATCCTGTAGTAATAAAAGCCTTTTCTCCAACGTTTTATGTCTCTTAGGTTTTTAGGGAGCCAGAAATCTCCATGGGCCGCTGCTACTTCTCATGATGATCATGATATCCTGCCTGGGAACGATGCCATCTGTTTTGACCCAGCCGTCGATGCCCTGGCTGCTTCTGTTGTAAGGCGAGGGGCAAGGCCGAAAGGCAGCCCTCGAGTTCAGGGTCCGACTGCTTTTCCTGCTTTGAGAGGGCGGAGGGGGTGGGTGAGCCTGAGCTGCTCTCCCTCCCCTCCCTTCCAGAAGGAACCCATAGGCAAAATCTTCTCAGTGCCCTGCAGTTCTCACTGCACTCCCCGCTGGCCACTGGGCAGGGCCAGCCATCCTTCCTGCCAGGGCCCCAGGGCCTCACCTCGCTCATCCCGAGGTGAGACGCGGGCCTCCCTTGCGGGGGACAAAATGGCATCGGGGAGAGGAGAAACAGCTGCCCTTCACCTCCAGCTGCAGGGGGCTGCCGAGCCGAGCCCGCGGCCGGCCATGAAGATGGAGGACACGGCTGTGCAAGAGATGGGGCGGGGCGGAGTCTCGCGCTTCCTTCAGATCGGGTCCACGCGGGAGTTCTTATCTGGAGAGGCTTCGCGCCACGTCAAACAGGAGCCGGATGAACTTCTCCCGCCCCATCAATGGGCTCCCCCGAGGCAGGAGTTTTCTCCATCGGGGTGGAGAAACTCGGCTCTACCCAAACCCCTAACGTGGGACACTAGCTCTTTCCAGGCCCCATACGAGGCTCCGGCCAACCCAAGCCCGTGGCCCTCGGGAGGATGGGGAGGACAGACTCTGGCCAGCCTGAGCAGGGGGACTCAAACGGTCTATAGCAGCCAGGAGCACCAAGAACGGAGGACCTACCGGGGCCTCAAGGAAGAGCCTCCGAACGAAGGGACGGTCGGCGTAGAGATCCGGCGCCAGCGTTTCCGGCGGCATCGCTACCAAGTGGCTGAGGGCCCCCGCGAAGCCTGCAGGCAGCTGCAGGAGCTTTGCCACGAGTGGCTCCAGCCAGAGAGACGCACCAAGGAGCAGATCCTGGAGTTGCTAATCCTGGAGCAATTCTTGACCATCCTCCCCCAGGAGATGCAGAGCTGGGTCCGAGAACGGGGGCCGGAGACCTGCAGCCAAGCAGTGGCTTTTTCGGAAGAGTTCCTGGTGCAGCAGAGAGAGACCCAAAGGAAAGAGACACAGGTAACCAACATGGGCATATTGTCCACCTGCTCATTAACCATCATTGTTCCTTCGGTAGATCACAGGGTGATGTAAAACAGAGCCCCCCCCATCCTTTTGGGCACCAGGGACCGCTTCCGTGGAGATAGGTTTTTCCATGGATCGGTGGGGCCCTGGTTTAATATGCTGCCTGCATCCCATGGATGGGGCTTTGTTTGTTTGTGAGGCCCGGTTTCTGGCATGCCGTGGCCCTGTGCTGATCCGCAGACCGGGTGATTGGGGGCCCCTGATGTAAAATATCAAAACCACAACAAGCAGTGAAACTCTGAACAGGGGATGCCAGGAGTAAAATAGATATAGTTATTAACCGTTAGCAGGTAGTCCTTGATTTATGACCGGTTGCTCGGCAAACATTGAAACGTACGACAGATACCACAAAAGGTACAGCCCGATTCTGGATGTACCAATGGCCACGCCCCCCAACACATGACTGCATTTTGGGCCTTTTGGCAACTGGCCTCCCTTATGGCTATTTGCAGCGTCCACAATTTATGATGGCGTTTGCTTCTGTTTTTCAGCAAAATGCCCCATAGCGATCAATGGGTTTGCGTAACGATCACGGTTAATAACCACAGAGTCACTTAAGAACCACCACAAAAAGAAGTCGTAAATGGCAGGCACCATTACGGTTGTAAATCGAGGACTTGCCTGTATCTTAAAGCAGGATTAAATTCAATTTGTGGAAGTGAAGATGATTGAAGAGAGTTGGTGTATATTTTATTTAGTTATTATACCAAGCATCTAGGAATGTAGCAACGATTAAAAGGCCTGGAGACTTAAAACATAGGAAGAACAGTTACAGGATTTGGATTTGACTAGTCTAGAGAAAAGAAGGACTAGGGGGACATGAAGCAGAATTTCAGTATTTGAGGGGCTGCCACAACCAAGAGGGAGTCAAGCTGTTCTCCAAAGCACCTGAAGGCAGGACAAGAAACAACGGATGGAAACTAATCAAGGAGAGAAGCAACCTGGAATTAAGGAGAATCTTCCTAACAGCGAGGACAATTAACTAGTGGAATAGTTTGCCTTCAGGAGTTGTGGGTGCTTCATCACTGGAGATTTTTAAGGAGAGACTGGACAGTCACTTGTCCGAAATGGTATAGGCCAGTGATGGCTAACCTTTTTGCCGTCGCGTGCCAAAAGCAGGGGTCGCGGGGGGGGCGGTTGCGGGTGCGGGTGCCCACATCCATAATTCAATGCGCCCCGCCCTCCTGCGCATGCACACGTGACCCCCCCTCACACTTTCCCCTGCTTTTGGCATGTGATGGCCCGGTGGGCCCAGTAGGCCCGTTTTTCCACCTCCCCAGGCTGTAGAGGCTTTCTAGGAGCCTGGGGAGGGCAAAAACAGCCTTCCCCATCCCCGGAGGCTTTCCGGAGGCCGGAATCAGGCAGTTTCCCAACTTCTGGTGGGACCGGAAGGCCTGAAAATCAGTTGGCTGGTGCGCGCATGTGCGCTGGAATTGAGCTAGGGCAACACTCGCGTGCCCACCAATATGGCTCCACATGCCACCTGTGGCACCCGTGCCATAGGTTTGCCATCACGGGTATAGGCTCTCTTGCTTGAGCAGGGAGTTGGACTATTTTTATTTATTTATTTAAATTTTTATACCGCCCTTCTCCCAAAGGACTCAGGGCGGTGTACAGATATACTAAAACAACATATACCCATAAAATTTAAAAACAGTTTAAAATATATTAAAAATTTAGCCCTTATATTAAAAGCTACAAACACCCAATTAAAACTCATTTTCTAAGCCAGCCCAGCATGTTGAAACAATAGAGTCTTAAGGGCACGGCGAAAGGTGCGTAGGTCAGGGATCATGCGAATCTCCGGGGGCAGTTCATTCCAGAGGGCAGGTGCCCCCACAGAGAAGGCTCTCCCCCTCGGGGTCGCCAGTCGACATTGTTTGACCGACGGCACCCTGTGGAGTCCCTCTCTGTGGGAGCATATTGGCCGGTGGGAGGCTATCGGTGGCAGAAGGCGATCTCGTACATAGCACTAGAAGACCTCCAAGGTCTCTTCCAGCTCTATTCTGATTGATTCTGTTTTCCAAAGCATCAGAAGGCAAGACAAGCAATGGAGGGAAACTAATCACGGAAAGAAACATTCTAGAACCAGGGAGAAACTCCTTAACAGTGAGGACAATCAACCAGTGGAACAGCTTTGCCTTCTGAAGTTGTGGGTGCTTCATCACTGGAGGTGTTTAAGAAGAGACTGGAGCGACATTTGTCTGAATTGGCATAGGGTCGCCTGCTTGAATGGGGCTGGACTAGAAGACCTCCAAGGTCCCTTCCAGCTCTATTCTGATTGATTGATACAAAATCCAGATCCCTCAGAGCATTTCCCCCAAGATAGAAACAAGCCGGAATTAACCTCCCTGTTGCCATTTTCAGGTGATGTGGTCCTTCGAGGAGTTGATGTTGAACCCTACCCGGCCACCATCTGTCCAGTATCCTGCCATGACACAGCAGGTCCCTTACCCCACGGTGGCACTGCCCATGCAGTACCCACCCTTGGCACCACAGTCCCAGTATCCTGCCATCGGACAGCCGGCCCCCCATCCCATTGTGGCGGAGCGAATGCCAGCAGATGCTCGGCAGAGGATGATCGGCAGGAAGTCCGTGGCAGATGATGGCGCCACCCTCCGCCCTTACGGTAAGCTGATCTTCCAGCGGAGCCAGAGCTCCCTCTACTGGTGGGGCACCACTTCCCAATAACTTCCCTCAGCTGATCTCTGTGCCGGCTGAGAGTCATGGGGTTGGATCTCCCATCTTTCCAAAGGACAGCAAGAGTGGCTAAAACAGGAAAATTAATCTTTTTGGGGTCTTTGAATAGATCCATTTCTCAATCAGTCTTTGAAAATTAGCTTTTTTAAGAAGTGGTTTTCTATCTTGGCTGCAAAGGGAAAAAACCACTGCAGGTAGCCCTCGACTTACAACAGTTCCATTTAGTGATCGTTCAAAGGCCCTGAATAAAATGACTTACAACCGATTTTCACACTTAACGACGGTTGTAGGATCCCCATGGTCACGTGATCAAAATTCAGACCCTTGGCAACTGACTCATATTTATGACGGTTGCAGTGTCCCGGGATCACATGATCTCCTTTCGCGACCTTCTGACAAGCAGGAGTCAGTGGGGAAGCCAGATTCATTTAACAACCGTCTGACTTAATTTAACGACTGCAACGATTCGCTTAACCACCGAGGCGAGAAAAGTCGTAAAAGGGGACCGACTCACTTAACAAATGTTTCACTCGGCAACAGAAGTTTTGGGCTCCACTGCGGTCATTAAGTCGAGGACTACCTGTACGTCCATATTCAATATGAAAACACCCCTACAAAGATTACTATTTGCTTTCTCAGAGAAGTGATTCTTGCCGTTTTCTCATATCCTCAGCTTGAAATCGTGCAAAATCTTACGCAGGAATCCCATTTTCTCATTTTTGTTGCTTAACAGCCTACTCGTGAAGATTCACAGAATCTTTTTTCCCTTTTTAAAACGTAAATTTTAATTCATTTTTAATTTATTGGGGTGTTTTAAATCTGTCTTCGGCCAAATTGTTTAATTCAATTTTATTCAGTTTTAAATTTTGTATTTATGTTTTTTATCCTGTGGCTGTTCACCGCCCTGAGTCCTTTGGGAGTAGGGCGGTATACAAATCAAATAAAACTAAACTAAACTAAACTAAACTTTCACATCTTTGACCATGTTAAAATAACGCTCAAGTGAGATCTCTCTCCAATGTGCCATGGTTTTTTCTGTGTTTCAAGGAAGCTTCTCCCTCCCTCCCTCCCTCCCTGTTGGCTATACCTACAGTAGTGGCCAAAATTGTGGAAACCTTTTGGGGAAAAGTGTATTTTCTAAATCCAGCTAATAACACCACTTTTTGGGGGGGAATTGTTGTTGTTAGCTGCGAAGTCGTGTCCCACCCATCGCGACCCCACAGACAACGTTCCTCCAGGCCTTCCTGTCCTCTACTATCCTCTGGAGTCCATTTAAGCTCACGCCAACTGCTTCAGTGACTCCATCCGGCCACCTCGTTCTCTGTCATCCCCTTCTTCTTTTGCCCTCAATCTTTCCCAGCATTAGGCTCTTCTCCAGTGATTTTTTTTGGAAATAGTACCATAAAATTATATATCAATGGAAAGATAATTTAATCAAGAATTTGATGCCATAACTTTTATGAGGGATTTGCTATTAGAATAGCAGTTACAGTATAAAGAAGAAAAGTGAAACGTAGAAAAAACGAGATTTACAAAAATTATCACCATAGAAAAAAACGAGATACACAAAAATGATCACGTCAGTTAATATTTAGTTGGGTAACCTTTAATATGAATTACAGCCTTACAATGTCTTCCCATGGAGTGAACCAAGTCTTTTAGTTCAGCAGCTGTTATAATGTGAAACCAAGATTGAATGTTTGCTTCTATTAACTGGGTTTTATTGCTGGGTCGCTTCTGACTAACAAGTTTCTTTAGTCGGCTCCATAGATTTTCAGTTGGGTTAAGTTAAGATCCGGGCTATTCCCAGGCCATTCCAGCAGTGGAATATGATTATCTTGAAACTCCAAAAAAAAATAAAAATAAAAATAAAAAGTGGTGTTATTAGCCATCAAACCTCAAAAATACACTTTTCCAAAAGGTTTCCACAATTGTGGCCAGTACTGTAAAACAACATGTCCCATGCCTGTGGTGGCCCGAGCACTCTGCCAGTGAAAACCTTTTTCGCTGGCAGAGGCACTGTGGGCTGGTCCTTCGCTGTTTCCAGGGCGGCTCCGTGGGCCTTGAGTTTGACACTCCTGGTCTATGGAGATTCTTAGTCATCCCAGGTCATGGTTGTCCCAAAGGTGCTTTTTTTTCCTTTTTCAAGAGACCACTGGACTTTCTGGTTTTTCTTTGAAGACCTTTCGCTTCTCATCTTCAGAGCTGAAGAAGCTTCTTGGATGAGAAGCGAAACGTCTTCAGAGAAAAAGTTGCCTCTTGGGGGAAAAAAGCACTTTGGGGATATTGATACTAGAAGTTTTGGAGCTCCTGGGAAGGTAGACCACCACCATGGCAGCCATCTCCCAAGGGGTCCTAGTATTCGGCTTTTGAACTAGACAAGCCAACATTGCAATTTTTTAAACGTACGCTTATTTATTTATTTATTTATTTATTTATTTATTTATTTATTTATTTATTTATTTATTTATTTATTTATTGGTTCGATTTATATGCCGCCCTTCTCCGGAGATTCAGGGCGGTTTACAATGCGTTAAGCAATAGCCTTCATATTTTTGTATATAGCTGCTTGGTAGGGCTTTCGGCAAGCGGTGTTCTTTTTTATACAAAGTCATCTTATTGCCCCCACAAACCGGGTCCTCCTTTTAGGGTGGGGGTTAAGAGAGGAACAATTTCCACGGCTGTAAATCTCAAGTCTCCAGCAAAAATCTAATTGTTTTCCTCCCCGCTCACCTTCTGCATCTTCCCTCCTTCCCTCCCTCCCTCCCTCCCTCCCCCATCCTTCCACCTCAGGGCCTATCCAGGAGTTCCGGAGGCCCCTCACCAATGCCGAACGGATGAGGAACCGGAGGATGAGGAACCGGAAGCAGCGCTTGGAGACCAGCATGCAGCTGGTGGAGTCGGCCTCCCGGGCCCCCTCCATGCTGTTGGATGCCATGCGGGGCCTGCACTGTCACGATCTGAAGGCCTTTGACAGGGCCAGGCAGGAGGAAAGGCAGCACCGCAAACAGGAACGGCGGCAGGATCGAGCCACGGCGCAGCTGATGGTCGACGCCATTAAACGCTCCCACAGCGACCTGGGGGAGTTCCTGGGAAGGCAGACCTCCGCCATGGCTGCCATCGCGGAGGTCTTTACGGGTCAGAAGTCACCCGCCCAGAGCACCCACACCAACTACAGCTCTTACTCAGGGCACAGCAACCCGCCCTGGGGTCCTCCAGAGCCTGGAGCTCCAGTACCATCCGGCCATGTCCCCGGCATGCCTTCCGAGCCGGTAACCGGTCCAGTTATTCCCTGCCCGGTGGCTCCGGTGGCTCTGCCTGGTGGCAGCGGTGACCCAGTCCTGGAGCCGTCTCCCACCGATGGACCAAGCGAGGCTGCTGCGCCCGACTCCCCAAAGCCTTCCACCTCTGATGCCACTTCCCGTGGTCTTGATGGCAGGCCCAGCAGGGGCACCAAAAGGAAGACGTGGGACTGAGGACTCGTAACTCGCTCTTTAAAAAAAAGTAGTTTTTTTTTTAGGCCCATTTCATTTCCAGTTGCCACCCTGGCAAACCCCACTATGTCTCCCTGTCCGTAGTGTGTTAGGAGGACAGCCCATCTTATCTATGCAAGGAAGCATAAGGCAAAGCTTCAGGCCCATAGGAAGGATTGCTGTGGGCTTCCGAGTCCATGGGATTACGGATTATAAAAGAGAGAAAGCAGCAGATAGCCTGATCTGTTGCAGATGGATTAGGAGTGCAGCTTTGGGGCAAGTGGCATCTGCCCATCTGCAAAATAGGAATAACCAACCCGCGTTTACATAGTCACTTAAAAAGAAGATACTGTAAAGGTCAATTTACTTCTCCGGTAATTAAAAGGAGGCGGTGAAAATTGTAAGCTCTTCAAATGACCACAAGAGGCTCTATTCGTCTGTCCATTTCTCAGTTACAATTTATTTATTGTATTTATTGTATACACGAATATACACACACACACACATATACTGCCTAATAATAGTGAAAAACCAAGTTGGTTCCAACAATCAAAACACAGGCTTGCAAAGTTAAAATAGCGATGTGGGTGGTGGTGGTGGAATAAAGTGTTTACCGAGCTGCTGCTTCAAATAAGATTCCTTTTATACCCATTTTGCAGATGGGAGGGCAGGGAGTGAGGCTGAGGCTTTGAGGTGTGCCAAATGTTTTCGCATCTGGATCTTAGAAAGGTCTCATCCCGACCTCAAAAGTGGTGGCTCTGACTTCATGGGCAGATCCTTGTAAACCTCTGGAATAATCTCCCACGTTTCTGGGAGATCATAAGTCAGGCTGGATCTCTGAAAACATTTAACCTTTCTCTCCTGAGTCTCAGTTGGGTTGGGCTGTTTGTTTTTCCAGATTCTAATACCTTTTTTTTTTTTAATGCACCGTTTGATTCTACAGTGGTAAAGGGCATCTTGAAATAAATGGCTGTTTCTGTTAGGATAGCTTTATATTTTCTAATGTAAAGAGTTCCCAGCCTTGTTTTTACCCTGCTTTTGCTGAGAAATTAGGGCTTTTCCTCCACTTCAAATCCAGTAAACTGAACATTAACCATCCTGTTGCCTTGATTCCGGATGTAGTATTTTTAGACCTGTTGAAACAGAAGGCAAAAGAACCATGGCTTCCCTTGTCCGTTTCTTGTTTGTCTGTTCATTTTTTTAAAAAAACTCACTTTGTCCCCAACGCGCTGGGTAGAAAGCAGTGGCGGGTTGCCCCCGGTTCGCACCGGTTCTATAGAACTGGTAGTAAAACTGGTGGGAGGCTCCGCCCACCGATCCCGACGTCACCATAACGTTTCTGCACATGCACAGAAGCTTCTGCGCATGTACAGAGAAGTGTGCACGCGGCCCCGCTGTGAACCGGTAGTAAAGGTAAGGAGCCTTGGTAGTACAGTGGTCTAAAGCACCCTGTTATTAAGACCAGCTGCCTGCAATTACTGCAGGTTCGAATCTCGCCAGGCTCAAAGTTGACTCAGCCTTCCATCCTTTCTAAGGTAGGTAAAATGAGGACCCAGATTGTGGGGGCAATAAGCTGACTTTGTATAAATATACAAAAGGATGAAGGCTATTGCTTAGCGCATTGTAAGCCGCCCTGAGTCTCTGGAGAAGGGTGGCATATAAATAAAAAAATTTAAAAAATTAAAAATTAATTAATTAGAACCCACCCCTGGTAGAAAGGCTTAAAATGGAACTGGAGATTATGACAAGGCCAGAGGTGGTATTCAGCCAGTTTGGGCAAACCGGTAGTAGCGACCTGCAGGCTCAATCCTGTCCTATATTGCTGTGTTTTTGACGCCGTACGCATGTGCGGATGGCACGCGTGAGCAAATTGCCGTGTTGTTTGGCGCCGCATGCATGCACTCACATTTCCGGTGCTGGGTGAACCGGTTGGAACAGTATGTGAAGGCCACCTCTGGACAAGGTCCATAATTTTCTGATCTAAAATCAGAGGTGGGCTTGACATACTGTTCCAACCAGTTCACCTAGCACCGAAAATGTGAGCACGTGTGCGCCATCCACGCATACATGCGGCGTTACAAAACACAGCAATTCGCTCACAGGCGCTGTTCGCACATGTGTGCAGCATCCAAAGTGCTGCACCAAGGAGCCTTGGTGGTGCAGTGGGCTAAAGTGCTGTTAAATAGCACCAGGTGCCTGCAATTACTGCGCGTTCAAATCTCACCAGGCTCAAGGTTGACTCAGCCTTCCATCCTTCCGAGGTAGGTAAAATGAGGACCCGGATTGTGAGGGCAATAAGCTGACTTTGTATAAAAAAAGAACACCGCTTGGGGGGGGCCAAAAGCCCTACTAAGCAGGTATATACAAAAGTATGAAGGCTATTGCTTAATTCATTGTAAGCCACCCTGAGTCTCCGGAGAAGGGCGGCATATAAATCGAACCAATAAATAAATAAAAACTCAGCAACATAGGATGGGATTGCCCACCCGCAGGTTCGAACCGGCTGTATACTGCCGAACTGGCTGAATACCACCTCTGTCTAAAATGACTTTTGGCGTTGCAGGTAAAGTCCTGCTTAACACCGGAAGTGATTAAGTTGGGGAATGAACAGCTGGACTGGATCAAGGAGCCCAAATCACAATTCCAGCTGCATCTGAGGGTTGTGTCCAAATTCCTGCTCTTTAGTGAGCCACCTGTAACATGGCTGGGGTGCCCATGTTCATATGTGCAAATAAATAAAATTAGATGTCTGAGGCTGCCCCTTTGCCTCTGTAGCACGGTCATCCCCTTGAGGCACCCAAACGCCAACGTTTGCCCTCCCACCCAAGAGAAATGCGGGCTGCCTATTTCCATTGGTGGCAGAGGGAAGAAGTTGGATTCTAGTGGCTCGGGCAGGTTGAACTGCCTAAACCTGGATTCACATTTTCCAAAACAGCAAATGGCTCATTTTCGCCTTTTAAGTGGAAGAGGGGGGGTTATGGGGTTCTATGGAGAATGCCAGCATTTGAGGAAAAGGATGTTTGGCCAAGGAAACCCCCCTGGAGTGGTACATTCCTGAATTAGGCACTCTATTGCAGGGCTATCCAACCTTGGCAACTTTAAGACTTGTGGACTTCAACTCCCAGAATGCCCCAGCCAGCCATGGGAATTCTGGGAGTTAGAAGTCCACAAGTCTTAAAGTTGCCAAGCTTGGGCACCCGTGTTCTATTGCTTTAAATCAATTGGGAATATCCTAAAATTTGGACTGAAAAACTGCAGAATCGCTCAGTCTAGAAGAGACGGACCAACGGAGGGAAACTAATCACGGAGAGAAACATTCTAGAACCAGGGAGAAACTTCTTAACAGTGAGGACAATCAACCAGTGGAACAGCTTTGCCTTCTGAAGTTGTGGGCGCTTCATCACTGGAGGTGTTTAAGAAGAGACTGGACAGACACTTGTCTGAATTGGCATAGGGTCTCCTGCTTGAACGGGGCTGGACTAGAAGACCTCCAAGGTCCCTTCCAGCTCTATTCTGATTGAGTTGAGGTTTGCATCTCTCCAGAACCAGGGCTAGAAATGGGGGGAGAGGCCTTGCTTCCAAAAGGCCTGGCATCTATTGGAAGTGCCAGGTTCTCTTCCTTATTCTCTCTGCAAGGAGAGGGAACTGCAGCGTCTGCACCCCAAACTCCTTGGTGCCAATTGGTCTTCAACAAAGCAAATGGATGGGAGAAAAGAACCCCTCATTTTTTTTGTCTATTCCCCGCCCTCCTCAAAAAATCTGGAACAGATAGTACTTTTAATAATTCCACTGTGGTAAAATATCGGCTAGCAATTATTTTTTTTTAAGACTTGCATCCTTTAAAAATAGGGCAATACAGAGACGTGCAATGAACAGTAAGCAAAATAACAATAGTTGGAAGGGATCTTGGAGGTCTTCTAGTCCAACCCCCTACTCAAGCAGGAGACCTTTATACCAGGGGTCAGCAACCTGTGGCTCTGGAGCCACATGTGGCTCTTTCACCCCTCTGCTGCGGTTCCATCACTCAAAATATGTGTCACAACTGCCAGTGTGTGACACCCGCCGGCACGTGATTTATTGAGCTTTTCAACCCCCGGTAGGCCAACCATGGATAAATCCAAGAAAAGAAAAATTTCAGAAGAAAACAGAACATTTAATTCAACTACATATACTAGTTTTGTGGCTGCTCAATAAATAGTCAGGCACGGGAAGGGTTTTGTGGCTCCCGGTGTTTTCTTTTCTGTGGGAAACGGGTCCAAATGGCTCTTTTGAGTGTTTAGGGTTGCAGATCCCTGCCCTATACCATTTCAGACAAGCGACTGTCCTGTCTCTTCTTAAAAGCTCCAGTAATGGAGCATCGACAATCTGGAGACAAGCTGTTCCACTGAGATAGTTCTAGGTTGCTTCTCTCCTTGATTAGTTTCCATCCATTGCTTCTTTGTCCTGCCTTTGGAGAATAGATTTGGTGACCTAAATTGGATGCAGTTTTCCAGGTCTTACTAAGCAAGATGAGTTGGAGGGCGGGGGGACATTTTTTGGCTGCAGCTCAGTCCTAGCAAGCCGCTGAGTTTAATATCTGGGAGATTACCACCCCATCCCCACCCCTGGCATGTTTGTTGGGATGTGACCTGCTTACTTCCATCCAATACATGGCAATCCCCATGTAAAAAGCTGATATGGTAGTAACGACACCCTTCTCCCTGCCTTCTCCCTGACATCTGTGCTTTCTACGCAGAGGAACAAGTGTGTTTTGTCCTGTCAGTCCTTATCTGCAGCCCGAGCTGGTTTAGGCCTCACAGGCCTGGTTTTCTTGTCACCCCAAGGTGCGTCCCTCTGGAAGGGTCCTAGATGAGATCCTGGCTGTCTAGCAGGGAATTGGCGCATGCTGATGACCTACAGTAGTGGCCAAAATTGTGGAAACCATTTGGGGAAAGTGTATTTTTGAGGTTTGATGGCTAATAACACCACTTGTTTTTTGGAGTTTTAAGATAATCATATTCCACTGCTGGAATGGCCTGGGAATAGCCCAAGTCTTAACCCAATTGAAAATCTATGGAGCCGACTAAAGAAACTTGTTAGTCAGAAGCGACCCAGCAACAAAACCCGGTTAACAGAAGCAATCATTCAATCTTGGTTTCACATTATAACAGCTGCAGAACTAAAAGACTTGATTCACTTCTTGGGAAGACATTGTAAGGCCATAATTCATGCTAAAGGTTACCCAACTATTAACTGACATGGTGATAATTTTTGTATATCTCATTTTTTTTTACATGTTTCACTTTTCTTCTTTATACTGTAACTGCTATTCTAATAGCAAATCCTTCATAAAAATTATTGCATTACATCCTTGATTAAATTATCTTTCCATTGATATATAATATTATGGTACTACTCCAAAAAAATGGTGTTATTAGCTAGTTTTAGAAAATACACTTTTCCCAAAAGGTTTCCACAATTTTGGCCACTACTGTATGTGAATTATTTTCCCGGAATCCTCTGCAGAGGGTCATTTCCCCAAATCTCATCCCTTCTGTAAGAGACACTCAGAAGCTGACTGTCTGGGGAATTCTGGGAGTTGCAGTTCACGTGTCTTAAACTTGCTGAGATTGAAAAACAGCTTCTGAGTGTCGCAGACTTTTCTCCATGGAAATAGTTCTCTCAGAGGCAAAAAGTTTGAAAGCCAGGATCCTCGGGCCAAAAACATCCTTTCTCACCTCCGAGTAGTCTAAGGAAAAGGTGCTTCTGAGGCGTCATCATCTCTTTAGCAAGATCCATCCAAAAGAACATGGTTTACCTGATCTTATTATTTTTCTCCTTCACCCAGACCAACCCTGTATCTTTACAATATGGAAGGTTGTTTTAACAGTTTTTTTTTTTTCCAATGCAAGATCTCTCTTGGGTTATTTTTTTTTTCTCTTTTAAGTTTTGAAAATATCCAATAAAAGTTTGTAAATTTGGGGACTGTAGTCTTGCTGTCTTCTGTATTATTTGTGCTATTTCCGCTGAAGCTTATTAATACCGGCCTTTTCAACGGGTTGTTCTTTCTTCTCCAGAAGGAGCTGGAGAAAATTTTGAAAATGGGGAAGGTTTGTTATAATCCTGGAAGTAAAGGCTGAGGAAGACCATTGAGGATGGACGCAAGGCTACCTCATGAGGCCTAGTTTCTTAATATCAAAAGTATTTCCAAAACACCTTTCTTCCACCAGGACTGTCAGTACAATGTACATCTTCGAAGAGCAACCGAATAAAAGCAATCAAAATGCTCTAAAAGCAAATTCTGTATTTTAATAATACGCTTATTTATTTAAGATGAGAACCAGTTTAGCGTAGTGATTAAAGTATAGGTAGTCCTCGATTTACAATAGTTCAGTTAGTGACCGTTTGAAGAAGTTACAACAGCACTGAAAAAAGTGACATGACCGTTTTTCACACTTATGACCATTGCAGCATCCCCATGGTCATGCAATTTGCATTCAGATGCTTGGCAACTGACTCACATTTATGACGGTTGCAGTGTCCAAGGGTCATGTGATCATATTTTGTGATTTTTCTGACAAGCAAAATCAACAGGGAAGCCAGATTCACTTAACAACTGGGTTATTAACTTAACAATCGCAGTGATTCACTTAGCAACGGTGGCAAAAAAAGTCGTGGGGCAAAACTCAAATTTCTGTCTTGGCAACAAAAATTTTGGGCTCAATTGTAGTTGTAAGTTGAGGACTACCTGTATCCTCCAATGCTTCATGCTAATCCCGTTTGGAAACCTGAATCAGCCTTATAAAAAATGGAGGAAAAGAGGCCACCCAGTGAAGATAGGGAGAGACGTGGGGATCTTTAAATGCATGCATGGTTGTTATACCGAAAAAGAGAGGAATAATTATCTTGTACTTTGGTGAGGAGCACGACCAAGAGGTTAACATTGCAAGGAAGGAAATTAAAATTAGATATAAGAATAATTTTGCAATTGTTTGAGTCAGGGGAACTGGCTACTCCATGAAGTGGCGAGTCCTTCTCTACCAGATGTCTCCAAACCAAAGCTAGAAGATCATCTGTCAAAGATGTTATAGTGGAGTCTACACTGAGCAGGGGGTTGAGCTAGATGATCTCAAGAGAACACTCACAGAGACTCTGATTTGTTCTAAAGGCACTTTCTACTTCTCTGAATGCAGTTAGGTCCTTCATAAGAACTTTAGTTAGAAATCCAGTTGTACTAGTGGTTCTGCCATTTGAAGACTGGGATGTGAAAGACGAAAGATACTATAACCTTTTCAATGTTATTACTATTTTAATATAGCTATTAAAATGGAAAATTTGAGTGCAGCAGCTGCCAAAAAAGCCAACACAGTTCTAGGCTGCATAAACAGAGGGATAGAATCAAAATCACGTGAAGTGTTAATACCACTTTATAATACCTTGGTAAGGCCACACTTGGAACACTGCATTCAGTTTTGGTCACCATGATGTAAAAAAGTTGTGGAGACTCTAGAAAGAGTGCAGAGAAGAGCAACAAAGATGATTAGGGGACTGGAGGCTAAAACAAAGGAAGAATGGTTGTAGGAACTGGGTAGAAGGACTAGGGGAGACATGATAGCAGTGTTCCAATATCTCAGGGGCTGCCACAAAGAAGAGGGAGTCAAGCTATTCTCCAAAGCACCTGAGGGTAGAACAAGAAGCCATGGGTGGAAACTAATTAAGGAGAGAAGCAACCTAGAACTAAGGAGAAATTTCCTGACAGAACAATTAATCAGTGGAACAACTTGCCTCCAGAAGTTGTGAATGCTCCAACACTGGAAGTTTTTAAGAAGATGTTGGATAACCATTTGTCTGAAATGGTGTAGGGTTTCCTGCCTAAGCAGGGGGTTGGACTAGAACCATGATGGCGAACCTATGGCACGGGTGCCACAGGTGGCACGTGAAGCCATATCGGTGGGCACGTGAGCTCAGCTCTGGCACGCATGCGTGCGCCAGCCAGCTGATTTTTGGCCCTTTTGGGCCCACCAGAAGTCAGGAAACACACTGTTTCTGGCCTCCAGAGGGCCAGAGGGGGGGGCATTTTTGTCCTCCTCAGGCTCCTAGAAAGGCTCTGGAGCCTGAGGAGAGCAAAAAACGGGCCTACTGGGCCGTGTCATCACGTGCCAAATGCGGGGGGAGGGGGGAGCACGGTGCATAGAATTATGGATGTGGGCACGCGTGCGTGTGACCCCACCATGCGCCCCCCCCTTTTGTCACGCAATGGCAAAAAGGTTATCCATCACTGGACTAGAAGATCTCCAAGGTCCCTTCCAACTCTGTTATTCTAAATTCTAAATCTATAAACCCTTTATTCTTGATTTCATTTTGACCTTTTAAGGTGTGGAAAACAGTTCTGGTTGTTTAGAAATAAGTAGATACAGATGTGATGCTAATTGTAATAGTAATTAAAATGCCACTTAACTCTACAGTGCAAGAACTGAGATTAGAATGGTAAAACGATTGGACTGTTAATCCTTAAACAAAGAGTTTGCTTTAAGTTTTAGTCGAACTTTCAAGATCTATTCCTTACCATCTAAAAAGGCAGCAGTTAAATGGGCCAGTGCTCATGTTTCATTTATTCTTGTCTGACATGGTAAATTCAAAAAGACAGATTTTTCATTTCTGCAATCACTTCTTTTAAATGCAACCTCCCCACCCTCACTTCCACTGAGCCTGAGGAAATCCTGGAACTGATATTTTGTAGAAAAATATCTACAAATGCAGGAAGTGGCAGGACCTGGCTGAATGTCTGAACTGAGAAGCTAAGCAGGGCAGAGTCTTGTTAATATTTGGACAGGAGGCCACCAGGAGAGCCAGAGCTGAAATCTGGGAAAGACCCAAGAAAAAAAAGCAATTGCAAACTCTTTCTGCATTTTGTCATGAAAAATGCAGAGTCTGTAGAAGTCAAACCCGACTCCCAAGGTCACTTTATACTTTTTAATGCAGGACCATTCATTCTCATTTCTATCTCGAATTGGAGAACGATTATGAAAGAAATGCACAGGAAGAAATTTCCAAGAGGGTTGCCAAACTGTGTGAAATGTGAGAATAAAACTCCTTAGGCAAGGAAGAAAAACAGAGACACGTTCAAAAACGGGAGGGGGGGAGGGAGTGGAAGTAATAGAGGTCAGAATAGCTGTTGACTTTTAAACCTCACAATCAAGATTTTTATATTCAAGTGATATTCTGCATTAACAGCTGGATTCTGAATCCTGGTTATGCTAGACAAATGTTATCTACCTGCATTTTTTTGGCAAACTTTTGTTTCCTTCCTTCCTTCCTTCCTTCCTTCCTTCCTTCCTTCCTTCCTTCCTTCCTTCCTTCCTTCCTTCCCTTCCCTTCCCTTCCCTTCCCTTCCCTTCCCTTCCTCCGTCCCTCTACCATTTAGACAGCTCTCTGTGCAACGATGTTCATCTTCTCACAGCTTATTATCTTCTTTATGGCTTAAAGCAGGAGTGTCCAACTTCGGTAACTCTTAAGACTAGTGGACTTCAATTCCAGGCAAGAATCAGGAATTCTGGGAGTTGAAGTCCACAGGTTTTACAGTTGCCATGAATGGCCACCCCTGGCTTAAAGGCTACGAAACCAATCTAATCTGTTTTTCAGCATGTGCAAATTTAGCCTTTGGCACAGTTGTTTACTCAAAAGAGCACAAATGCATCCTTAACCTTGAAAACCTTGCTCTCAATGGCACCTTAACAGCTGACCTCTCTTGCAATTTACTCTTTTAATTTTTTTTACCTCTGGTCAGAAATATATCAGTGTATCCCTGGTTATAAAACGAGAGGTGCGGTGGCCTAGAGGCAGAGCTTTTGCCTCACAATCGGGGAGCTATGAGTTTGATCCTAGGTAGTGGCAGGTATATCTCTCTCTGGGCATAATGAGTAAACATCTGCTGCGTACTCTGCATTGGCGATAGGAAGAGCATCCAGCCAGTAAACACTCAGCTCCATTCAGTTGCCCCGACTCCACCCTGATGCAACGGATTATGGGGTCATTAAATGACAAAAAAAAAAAAAATTCCTGGTTATAAAACATGCACCTGAATTACTCAATTTAAAAAAGAGATCAACATAGAATTCAAAACATTAATATATTAGTTAAGGACACGTGAATGGGACACAAAAAGCAAAAATCATATTCTCCACATTCCTCTTTTTCTCCTGATCATATTGTTTTTATATTTGTCAGGGAGTGAAGCTGAATGTTAAGTACTTTAACTGTTAGCAGGCCAAAATTAGGGCACTGTTGGCATGTTTTGGGCCCTTGCTTATTTTGTGTGTCATAAGCTGGAAAATGGAAATGACTACATCGGGGGAATGCAAGAGACCTGAACAAAAATTTGGAATATCTTAGTTTCCTTATGCTGAAAAATATGAGGTTTCTGTATGCTGCTGGTCTTTCTGACAATAATAAAATTATATTATTTTATCTGGTTAAAGACATCCTCTCTGCCCTCAGAGCTGTACAAATTGGACGAGTAAGTGGCCATTAATACTGGAGGAGAAAGAAAAATACTGTTGGTTTTTTTGAGTTTGTTCTTTTTAAATGTTGCATGAGGCCTTGGGACTGTAAGGCTCCTTTTTTTTTCTTTTTTTTTCCTCCTGGATAAAAAGGTTTTGCATTGGATTCTGTAGTCTTTCAGCTGCCAGGCTGTTTGTGTATTCCTATCGTCATCTTCTCCAAAGGCAAAATCAAGAACTGGAGGACAAAATGATCTCATCTGAAGTTGTCTGTAGGAAAAGAGAAAAGACCGGTAATCCTCAATTTATGACCATAATTGAGCCTGCCCATTATGATTGAAAGTTGATAGTCCAAAAAAAAAAAAAAAAAAGGTGATCCACGTGACTGACCTGATTTTATAGCTTTTTTGCTGTAGTCGTTAAGTGAATGTTCCAATGGTTCATTATGGACCAGTTTTGCCAAAAACCAGAAGTACCATACTTTTTGGAGTATAAGACACACTTTCCCCCCCCTAAGAGGGTGGAAATGTTGGTGCATCTTATACACCGAATACAGCCATTTTTGGCCTCCAGAAGCCCCACCCCGCGCATCCTGTTTTCGCCAAAAACAGACCCGTTTTTCGCAAAAATGGGATGTGCAGAGGGTTTAGGAGGCCTGCAGGGTATTCCTGGGGGCTGGGGAGGGCAAAAACGCAATTCATGGGGGGTTTGGGAGGCCAAAAACGGCCCATTTTTGTAAAAATGGGATGCACAGAGGGTTTGGGAGGGACAAAATCTCTGTGCGTCTTATATTCTGGTGCATCTTATAGTCCGAAAAATACGGGTAAATGTCCGTCTCAAGAGTAATAGTACTTAGACTTATATACCCCTCCACAGTGTTTCACAGCCCTCTCTGAGCAGTTTATAGAGTCAGCCTATTGCCCCCTCCCCTCCAACAATCCGGGTCCTCATTTTACTGACCTCGGAAGGACAAAAAGCTAAGTCAACCTTGAGCCGGTGAGAATCGAACTGCTGGCAGTGGGCAGAGTTAGCCTGCCAGACCGCATTCTAACCACCGCGCCACCAGGGCTCCCTAAAATGTCACAAAATGTGGTAACATGACTGCAAGACACTGCAAGTGAACGTAAATGCAGCTTGGTTGCTGAGAACCTGACACGCGGTCATGTGGAATCAACCCGCTCTCTCTTGGGCACACGTGGGCATTTTACCGCCCCCCCCGGGCCACATCTGGCTCTTTGGCTGTCCCTGTCTGGCCTGTGTGGATTGCTTTTTATTTCGAAAGTGACTTTTAAAAAAAAAATTGCTTATGTTTATCCATGAATACGTACGCACCTTCCCAGCCCTATTGGTTTGGCCCTCCACAATAGTCCCAGTTTCTCATATGGACTCTTAGGAAAATTAATTCCCCACCTCGGCTCTTTACCTTATTGCTACATTTCAGCGCAGACTTATCTTAACCTTGGACTTGCCCAGACTAAAGTATAACCATCTATCCCAGGGGTTGGCAACCTTAAACACTCAAAGAGCCCCGAAGGTCCTAACAGAAAGCCCCCGTTCAATTTTGGAGCCGACCGGAAGTCCAGTTCTCCCATCATAGTCTCCTCCTAGCGCGGCATCCTTTTTCCTCTGCTGACCGGAAGTCCAATTCCCCCACCATAGAGTCTCCTCCTTTTTCTTCTACCTGTCCTAACCAAAAGCCCTATCAATTGTGGAGCCGACCAGCAACAGGGAGCTGCAGAAGAGGGATGAAAGAGCCACATGCGGCTCCAGAGTCACGCGTTGCTGACCCTTGATCTATCCCAAAGGTGGTTTTTTTTCAAGAGGCAACTGGGCTTTCAGGTTTTTCTTTAAAGATGTTTCGCTTCTCATCAAAAGAAGCTTCTTCTTGGATGAGAATTGCAGACTACAGGAACCATTAGCACTACTCAGGTGACCCTGAGGACACAGATACAAGCTCCAAGTGCTACAACCACCCTCTAAAAGGATGCAGATGACCAGATGGCTGCAAGGAAGATAAATCCTTCCATTCTCCACCATCCAGTCGGAGCTGAAGAAGCTTCTTGGATGAGAAGCAAAAAATGTCTTCAAAGAAAAAAACCGGAAAGTCCAGTTGCCTCTTGAAAAAAACACCTTTGGGGCAACCATGACCTGGATGACTGAGAATCTCCACAGACATATAACCATCTACGTGTTTCCATCTTTATTTGTGTGAAGGAGCGTCCAATCAGATGAGTTCCCGCCAGCGTTTTAAAAAACTGTGGCCCAAATACAGCTTTTAAACCTTGCACCTTGCAAATATAGGACTTTGCAACACAAGAGACAAAACAGCTTAGTAGATCCCAAAACCATGTCTTTCTCCCTTTCCAGCTCGTAAAAAACCCCAAAACTTCCCAGAATCCCTTGGGATGGTTTCTACAGCCATAAACTAACTTGTTCAACCTGGATATCCATTTGGCTGCCAGAATTTCCCAGCTAGCTAGGCTGTTCAGGAGAATTCTGAGAATTAAATGCCATCCAGGTGGAAGGCCGCCATCTTGGGAGAAAAAAGCCACAAAGCCTAATAGGATGATTTGGGTTTTTAAGTGAAGTCCATTGATCCTACTAACCAGATTCAGTCCATTTTTTCCTCAAGCGTTTCTGCTTTTAAAAACTACTCCAGGCTGTAAGGAAGCATCTCTGTCAGAGCTGCGTGGTAACACATCACCGACTCCTCCTATCACAAAGTCATTCTGTGGTTTATTTTCTGCCAGGTCTTTGGCCGTCACGTTGTCACCTGGTAAGAAAGAACATTCAGAAGTTCAAACTTGAATGGATGGATAGTCTCAACTAAGAACTGATTGTCCATTACTGGTAGTCCTCGACTTACAACCACAATTGAGCCCAAAACCTATGTTGCTAAGTGAGATATGTGTTAAGTGAGTTTTGCCCCATTTCGCGACTCTTCTTGCCACGGTTGTTAAGTGAGTCACTGCGGTTGTTAAATTAGCAACCCGGTTGTTAAGTGAACCTGGCTTCCCCATTGACTTTGCTTGTCAGAAGGTGGCAAAAGGTGACTCCGGGACACAACGGTCGTAAGTATGAACCTGGTTGCCAAGCATCTGGATTTTTGATCACGTGATCATAGGGATGCTGCAAAGGTCGTAACTGTGAAAATCGGTCATACTGTTAATCACTGTTTTCAGTGCCGTTGTAACTTCGAACGGTCACTAAATGAACTGTTGTAAGTCGAGGACTGATTTTCTCCCATCGTTTCTGCTCGACTCACCAAATGTAGCAGAGGCCAAGCAATGGGTCCTCCCTATTATGCGATGTCATCCTGTAGAGCAGGGGTATCAAACTGGATTTCGTCGAGGACCGGATGACCGTTGTAATTCTACTCCGTGGACCGGCCGGGGGTGATGTGGGGAAGGAGACGAGACAGACGCCTCCTGCAGCACCCTGCTGGCCAAAATAGGGTGTGGGGGAGCCTCACGTGCCCCCTCCCCACACCTCATTTTGGCCTGGATGGCCTCCTACAGCACTTCGCCAGCCAAAATGGGGCATAGTTTAGGGGTGGGTTCTAAATTTTTTTACTACAGGTTCTGTGGGCGTGGCTTATTTTGTGGGCGTGGTTTGATGGTCATGTGACAATTATTTAGGATTTAGCAGAGGTACTGGTCTACCAGGCTTTTAATTGCTTGCAGAGCTGTACCGGTCTACTCATTTGTTCTTGGAGTGTTCCGGTCTACCCATTTGTTTTTGGAGGCACCGGTCTACTCATTTGTTTTTGGAGGCACCGGTCTACTCATTTGTTTTTGGAGGCACCGGTTTACCCATTTGTTTTTTGAGCACACTGGTCTACCACCACACTGCCTTTTAACACTGATCAGCTGTAAGGTGGCCCTTTGAAGTCCGGCCGCAAGAGTTTAAACAGTTTTTTTCCTTCTAGCCGATCAGCTGAGACTCGGGAGGCAGCGAATAGATTGGGGTAAGAATAGGTAAGGAAAGAATAACGCAGGGGGCGGGAGGGCTCCGTTGCCTGAGCCTGTCATCGGCAGGAGAGGACTCCGAGAGTGAAGGAAAGGAGTTTTCAAGGCCTCCCTCTCCAGGACCCTCCTCTCTGGCAATGCCTTCAGTGTCTGCCGAAGGGCAAGAGATAGGGCCGGGGCCAAGCATGTCCACGCAGCCACAGATGGACAGTGATGAGGGTAATGAGTCTTGGCTGGATCCACGCCAGCGTCACAGAGATAAGCGCGCGCAACAGAAGAAAAGGCGTGCCCGAGATTAGGCTGAGTCACTGGACCACACCCCACAGGATATAAAAGGGAGCGTGGTGGCCAGTCAAACCTTGTGACGAACAAAGCTGAAAGCTTCCACGCCATTCTGCATTGCCGGACTTTTTGCTATAGACTTTGCTGGATTATCTCTGGACTTGATTGACTCCGTAATTATTGAGCTGTTTCTTTTGATGTACCAGGAGTGGGGAGAAGTTATCTCTCCTCTTCGTAAATAATAAACTCTTGGCAGGGAGCCACTAGGTTGTTGCCAAGTTCCGTTATCATAAGGAAAAGGATTTTGCCGGCTGGTTTGATCTTTAACTCTTGAACGTCTGTTGGTGTGTGTGCGTGTGGTTGGGGACAGAACACCCAGCTCCTGAACAAAGAGAACCGGTTCGGTGATGTCATATTGTCACTGCTACCGGTTCGGCCGGACCGTGCCGAACCAGGAGGAACCCACCACAGGCGTAGATGTGCCAGGCGCACCCACCCCCTGCCCTGTTTTGGCTGCCAGAGGGACTGCAGGCTGGTCCGTTACTATTTCCAGGCTGGCACCACGGGCCAGGTTTAAGCATCCCCACGGGCCAGATTCGGCCGCGGGCCTTGAGTTTGACACCCCTGCTGTAGAGCCTTCTGTGGCAGCACCTGACTTGCAGAAAAATGTCTCCCTTGGGGGCCCAGATGCTCCCCACCCTAGAGGTCTTTTCTAAAACTCTGATGACTAGTCTTGTTGCTGATGCTTATTATTTAATGCTTGGAAAGTGTGATTTAGCTGGGCTACTATTTTACAGATAATCCCCGATTTACAACCATTCCTTTAGTGACCGTTCAAAAGGCACTGAAGAAAAGTGATCATTTTTCACACTTATGACCGTTGCAGCATCCCTGCGGTCACGTGAACAAAATTCAGATGATTGGCAACGGACTCATATTTATGACGGTTGCAGTGTCCCGGGGTCATGTGATCCACTTTTGCAACCTTCTGAGAAGCAATGGGGAAGCCAGATTCACTTAACAACCGGGTTACTAACGAAATAATTGCAGGGATTCACTGAACAGCTGTGGCAAGAAAGGTCATAAAACGGGGCAAAGCTCACTGAATGACAGACTCGCTTAGCAGCTGAAATTTTGGACTCAATTGTGGTCGTAAGTCAAGGACTACCTGTAGTTACCTTTGTATCAAGGATGAAACATTGGCAGCTAAGTACCTCTTCATTTCAGCTTGCCAGTAGAGTAAAGAGGGGGGGGGAGATGTCGCTTTTGAATGGGTTAGATCAGGGTTGTCAAACTCGATTTCATTGAGGGCTGCATCAGGGTTGTGTTTGATCTGGGGGGGGGATGGGATGGGCGTGGCCAGAGTTGGTTTGGCCAGCTTGACATCACTTGTGTTGGGGATGTCTGCCAGCGAAAACCGGCTCCCGAGCTCCATTTTTGGCCGCGACAGCCTCCTGCAGCCCTCTGCCAGCAAAAACGAAGCTTGGGGGGGGGGTTGTATGCGCCCCTCTCCGGGCTCCATTTTTGCTGACAAGAGGGCTGCAGGAGGCTGTTGCAGCCAAAAGCGTAGCCTGGGAGGGCCACACACGGCCTTGTTGCTGGTATCCTTATGATTTATATTGACTGTTTCCTAATATGATTTGATTGCTTATTTGTACCCTATGACTATCATTAAGTGTTGTACCTTATGATTCTTGACCAATGTATCTTTTCTTTTATGTACACTGAGAGCATATGCACCAAGACAAATTCCTTGTGTGTCCAATCACACTTGGCCAATAAACAAACTTCTGTTCTGTTCTGTGCTGTGCTGTGCTGCGCTGCGCTGCGCTGCGCTGCCCTATCCTATCCTATCCTATCCTATTCTTTCCGAGCTCCGTTTTCACTGGCAGAAGCACCACATGTCGGTCCTTCTCTGTTTCCAGGGTGGCCCCACGGGCCAGGTCTAAGTACCCCGTGGGTTGGATCCAGCCCGCGGGCCTTGAGTTTGACACCCGTGGGTTAGATGGAGAAACAAAACTTCTATGATTCTGCTGAAGGCCAATGGGAACCTGGAATCTGTTCAAGGACATCACAACATGTGTGGATTTGAAGCAGACGGTTCCCATAATCAAGGGAACATGTTTACATGGACGACGTGAGAGGTTGGGGGTTTGGCTTAGAAAAGTATTGTTTTGCCTCAAGATTACCTCACTGTGTATTCAATAAACAGTAAGATTTTCGGAAATGGATCCTTGATTTTTAGTTGGATTCTTGAGCTGTATGTTGACACTTTGTTCTGGAGATCCCCTTCCCATCCTAAAGTGAAGCAATCCAGATTCCAGGCTCAGTTAAGACCCGTCTGTTGGTTGGAAGGATAAAAGAACAACTCACAAGCATCTTTGGGTCCTGCCCTATTGTAAGGGGGAGCAGGGCTGGTGGGTGATTTGTAGCCTTCAGATTCTCCCTCAGATAGGATCCGAGATGGTTCAACTTGTCCCTTGCCTTGACTCTGACTCTCTCGGTTTTCCCTTTCCTCTGAGCTCTGGAGCCACCACGGTTCTCGTTGGGAGATTAAATCCGGGGTGGATGTTAAATATTCTGGCGAGGAGGGAAAACAGAATTAAAAAAAACAAAGTAAGAAGAGAAGGGCTTCAAAGACACAAAGGGAGAAAAATGGTGCAATGGCTGCTGCTCAGATTTCCAGTAGATCGAATGACCTGAAATCCTCTTTTTCGTCTCTTACTTCAGTTTTTCAGTTTCCTCCACACAGTTTTATTATTCTGTTCCTTGCAAAACACTCACAAAACTCACTTGTGGGTTTGGCAGGGAAGAGAGATTCTTCCATGACTGCATCGGTCATGCTCAGTCATTGGGATAAATGATTTTATTATTTGTGCATTGTTTATCATGCTGCGTTTGATATCCTCCAGATGTTTTGGACCAAAAATGGTCCAAAATTTTGGATATTCTTTAAGTTCAGACATTGGACAGACAACGAGATGAAGAATGGTGCAGATGAAAATCAAACCCTTGAATCTTAATAATCTGAATCTTATAATTCACCCAAGAGCCTTTGGTTAATGTTTCAGCAAGATTTTCCTAAGAACACAGAACAAGGTTAAGACAAGGTTATATGGTTTCTTTTTAAACTAATATTCAAGTAAACAATGGTAAAGTACAAAAGTATATAAGACAAACAATCAAGCAGAAAACAATACTCTAATCAAGGAAGTAACAAGCAGAAAACAAATACTGGTAGGGCAAGCTATTGTATATAAACTAAACCCCATACTCCCTGGCACTGATGATGCTATCCAATCAGGTGATGCAGTGGTGGGTTTCTCCCGGTTCGGTCCGGTTCAGCCGAGCCGGTAGCGGTGACGATATGACATCACCGAACCGGTTCTCCCCCCCGCCCTCCCCCCCATGTTATTCTTACCTTTTATTTGATCCCACCCCCAATCTATTGCTGCCTCCTGAGTCCCAGCTGATGACTAGAGGGAAAAAAACTGTTTAAACTCTTGCTGCGGGGCTTCAAAGGGCCGTCCTACAGCTGATCAGTGTTAAAAGCAAACAAATGAGTCGGGTCATAAGTGTGAGGACTGGTCGTAAGTGCGAGGACCTTCCAGAAATGACTCTGACCAGCTAGCCACGCCCACCTAGTCACATGACCTCCAAGCCACACCCACAAAATAAGCCACACCCACAGAACCCGTAGTAAAAAAAATTAGAACCCACCCCTGAGGTGATAAAATATCTGCCAGCAAACAACCAAGCTCAGAGAAGCACTCCACAGCACATAAGTTTCTTGTGTAGCTCCTAGAGCAGGGGTGTCAAACTCAAGGCCCGGGGACTGGATCCGGCCCATGGGGTGCTTAGATTTGGCCTGTGGGGCCACCCTAGAAATAGCAAAGGACCAGCCCGCGGTGCCTCTGCCAGTGAAAATGGAGCTCGGGATGGCCGTGTGCAGCCCTCCCAGGCTCTGTTTTCAGCTGCGATAGCCTCCTGCCAGTGAAAACGGAGCTGGGGGGACGTGGACGTGCTCTGTTTTCACTGGCAGAGGGCAGCAGGAGGCCGTCACAGCTGAAAATGGAGCTCTGGAGCCCGTTTTCGCTGGTAGAGCCGTCACAGACACGTCTGACATGAGTGATGTCAAACTGGCCACACCCATCCTCGCCCCCAAGGTCAAACAACCCGGATGCGGCCCTCAATAAAATCAAGTTTGACACCTGAAAAAAAACAAACAGAGGGAGCAGGAATGACTGCTGTTTTGCTGTGGGGAAGCTGGGAGCATCAGAATTACCACAAGTTTGTGAATACAACAGGTGTAAAGATCCTTGAAATTGCCATTTTGTTAGGGATTTGAACTGGACTTTGCCTGCTTTATCGGACTGCATTTGGATTAATCCTTGTATTGTTGAAACTCTGCCTGTTTTATCGGAATGCTTGCAGTCTAATCTTTGTTTTGTGTGAGTAAAGTCTGAATTGGCAGCTAGCCACTGGGTTGCTGCCAGCTTTATCTTCAAAGAGTTTTGTCGTGTGGCTTATTAACTTCAGGCCATCTGTGGGGCTGCGTGTGTGGTACGGGGACAGAACACGAAGCACATGAATCACGCCCCCTCCAGTCCGCAGAAAAAACCTCTCTACATGGAACAGGTTCCTGGTGCCCAAAAAGTTGGGAGCCTCTGAAGTAGATGTAACTTATCTGGTTGTGTTTCCTGTCTGGTTTAGCTGGGAAGACCAATAGCTACCTTGAAGGACTAACACAGGTTGTCAAACTAGATTTTTTTGCTGGCCGGATCAGCATTGTAGTTCTCCATGGGCCAGTGGAGGGAGCAGAGAGTGGGGGTGGGGGGGGAGACGTGATGGATGCCTTCTGCAGCACTTTAGCGGCCAAAATGGGATGCGGGTGTGTGTGCAAACACCGCCCCCCCCGCATCTCATTTTCACCCTCCCTGGCATCCAGCAGCACTCTGCTGGCCAAAAATGGACTGTGTGCTCCCAAGGCCCCCCTTGGCCTGTTTTCAGCCTCCCCAGCCTCCAGCAGCACTCTGCCAGTCAAAAATGGGCCGCGCAGAGACCTCCCGAGGCTGTGTTGGCCGGTAGGGGCACAGTGGGCCCATGCTTTGATATTTCCAGGCCGGTCCTGGGGGCCGGATTTAAGTACCCCACTGCCGGATCCATCCCACGGGCCTTGAGTTTGATATCCCTGGACTAACACCTGCTTACCCGGTTGGTTCTCCTCCTGATGCTCTGGGAAGGAAGAGCTGTCATAAAGGCTGTCCCTGCTGTTGAAGTATCTGTAGGTGTTCTCTCCCAGGTGGACCCTCTGGTGCTTGGTCAGGTAGGGCCTCCAGCGGAAGCTCTCCCCGCACTGGAGGCACTTGTACGGCTTCTCCCCGGTGTGGATCCTCAGGTGCTCCGTCAGGGTGGAGCGCCGGTTGAAGCTCCGCCCACACCTGGGGCACTCGTAGGGTTTCTCACCCGTGTGGATGCGCAGGTGGGCATTGAGGTGTGTGCTCTGGAAGAACCGCTTCCCACAAGCCAGGCACTCAAAAGGCTTCTCTCCTGTGTGGGTCCGGCGGTGCTTCACCAACTCGAATTTATACTGGAAGGCTTTCCCACAGTCGTGGCACACGTGCTTCTTCTCGACCTGAACGATCTTGATTTGGCTGATGTCGGTGACGTCGTTCCCACCAGGGAGCGGCTCCGATTCAGTCTTTATGGGCCACCTGAGCGGCTGCCCACCTGAGCCTTGCCTGAGCCCACAGATCTCAGGGTTGGGCTTCACCCCACTGCACGGTTTTGACAAGACAGAGGCAGGACGTAGGGACTCGGCTTCTGGGGCGCCACCCTCAATCGCGTCACCTGCTGGAGGAGAGGGGAAGAGCAAGGCAGAGACAGCAGCTGATTTAAATGTGTTTAAATTACAAGGTTTCTACTCCTACCCCAAGAGTCTTGTTTTTCCTTTAACTCTTTTTATCTAGAGATGTACAGTTTACCTATTTTGATTGGTTTTCTTTTCTTTTGTTTTTTTGTATTTCCATTTCATTTTATTTTATTTTATTATTTTATTTTATTATATTTTATTTATCTTATATATTTTATTTATCTTATATATTTTATTGTATTTATTTTTATTGTATTTATTTTTATTGTATTTATTTTTATTGTATTTATTTATATTAAATTATTTTATTATTTTATATTTATATTTTATTTTATTGTATTTATTTTTATTGTATTTATTTTAGTTTTAATTTTATTATATTTATGTATTATATAATATATTTTATTTTATTATTTTATTTTATTATATTTTATTTATCTTATGTATTTTATTTATATTTATATTTTATTGTATTGTATTTATTTTTATTGTATTTATTTTATTTTAAATTTTATTATATTTATATATTAATATAATATAATATAATATAATATAATATAATATAATATAATATAATATAATATAATATAATATAATATAATATAATATAATATAATATAATATAATATAAATATAATATTATATTTCATTTCATTTCATTTTATTATTTTATTCACACACACAAATACTGAATGGCACAATCAAGTAGCTGGCATTGTACACTGAGAATCTATGCATCGGAGACAAATTCCTTGCGTATCCAATCACACTTGGCCAATGCACACTTGTGTACAGGAACATCTGTGCAGTGCATGGGCGCTAGATCTTCCCAAGTCCAGATGGGAGGTTCTATAGAAGGTCATGGAGAATAACAGTGCCAAGATCCTGTGGGACTTCAAAGATCCAGATGGACAAGCAGATACAAGCCAATCAATCTGTCATCGGAGTAGTAGACAAGGAACGGAAGACAGAGGTGGTGATAGATGTAATGGTGTCAAGGGACAGTAATGGTGTGAAGGAGCATGAGAGGTTCTAACAGGGCCTGAAGGAGGAACTAGAGAGGATGTGGAAAGTAAAGGCCAAGGTGGTCTCAGAAGTGGCAGGAGCAATTGGGACAGTGACTCCTAAGCTGGGAGAGTGGCTCCAACAGATCCCAGAATAACATCAGAGCTATCTGTCCAGAAGAGGGCAGTGTTGGGATAACAGTGTTGGGACAAACAATTGAGATAACAGGAAAACAAACCCATCAGGAGAAGATTCAGCAGTGCATCTGCATTTAAAAGACACAGGTCACTTTTTTCAAGTCAGCAAAGTCCACATTTTGGACAGAGAGGACCACTGGTTTTAAAGAGGGGTCAAAGAGTCCGTCTACGTCAAAATTAAACAGCCCTCTCTCAACAGAGGGGGTGGGATACGACATCATCTATCTCCAGTCTTTAACACAGTCCTTTCAGCAGTTTCAAGAAGGCTCCACACCCATTTGCACCACTCGGGGGTCCCTGAGGACACCTCCAGGTGGCCTCAACGACTCTCTAAAAGGACGTAAATGACCAGCTGTCTGCAAGGAATAGAAATCCTTCCGTTCCCCACCATCCAGTCAGAGCTGAAGAAGCTTCTTGGATGAGAAGCGAAAGGTCTTCAAAGAAAAAACAGAAAGTCCAGTTGCCTCTTGAAAAACAGCACCTTTGGGACAAAACCATGAGCTGGATGACTGAGAATCTCCATAGATCCTTAGTTCTGGGCTGCTTCTCTCCTTGAGTGGTTTCCACCCACTGCTTCTTGTCCTGCCTTCAGGTGCTTTGGAGAATAGCTTGATTCCCTCTTTTTTGTGGCAGCCCCTGAGAAAGGTCTAATAATCTACCTATTGCTTTCGAATTGTGGTGCTGGAGAAGGCTCTTGAGAGTCCCTTAGACTGCAAGGAGATCAAATCATTCTAAAGGAAATCAACCCTGAATGTTGTTTAGGAGGACAGATAATGAAGCTGAAGCTCAAATGCTTTGGCCACCTAATGAGGAAGAGAGGGACTCATTGAAAAAAACCCTGATGTTGGAAAAGATTGAAGGTACAAGGAGAAGCGGACAGCAGAGGATGAGATGGTTAGATAGTGTCATCAACTAGATGAACATGAATTTGGGCAGAATCCAGGAGACTGTGGAGGGCAGGGTGGGCTGGCAAGTTATGGTCCATGGGGTTGCGAAAAGCCGGACACAATTTAGTGATTGAACAACAAGAAATCTATAAAAGCAGAGAATAAAATCTGACTTGCCCGCTAGTCTTCCCAGAGGCTTAGGGAGGGACGAGACATCAAAGATGGCTTCTCTGTTGTTGAAGCCTCTGTAGGCAGCGTTGCCCAGATGGACCCTCTGGTGCTTGGTCAGGTAGGGCCTCCAGCGGAAGCTCTCCCCACACTGGAGACACTTGTACGGCTTCTCCCCGGTGTGGATCCTCAGGTGCTCCGTCAGGGTGGAGCGCCGGTTGAAGCTCCGCCCACACCTGGGGCACTCGTAGGGCTTCTCGCCCGTGTGGATGCGCCGGTGGGCACTTAAGTGGGAGCTCTGGATGAAGCGCTTCCCACAGGCCAGGCACTCGTAGGGCTTCTCCCCCGTGTGGGTTCGCCAGTGCAGCAAGAATTCCGACTTGCAGTGAAACCACCGGTCGCATTCCGGGCACATGAGCTTCTTCCGGCCCACGTGGAACATGGAGCGCTTGGAATTGGCTGCCCTTATGTGCCTGGACGGCTCCCGCCAGATGTGCCCGGCCTGCAGCTCCCACTGTCTCTGCAGGCCACACCGGGCCTCTGACACTAAAGAAGGGTTCTCTGGGGGTGCCCTCAGCAAAGCCCATGGGGGATCTTGTGGATCCAAGATTTCAGGTTCTGCGATCTCTTCCTTGATCTCCCTCACGATCACCTCGCTTGCTGGCATAGTGGGAGAAGCCAAAGCAAAGTTGTTTCCTAAGAAAAAGAAAGGGGATGAGCTAAGCACGGGTAGACTTCAAAAATTTTAGCAAGGGGTTCTCTGGCCAGTTGCTGGGTGGCTGTGGCCTAGTCGGCCTTCTGTACCATGGTGGGAGGGGGCATTTTTGCCCTCCCCAGGCTCCAGAGGCCCTCTTCCCGAATTTTTGATAGGCCCATTTTTTGCCCTCCCCGAGCCTCCGCATGCACCCTGCACTTACCTGCATCCAAAACATGCCGCGTGGGGACTCCTGGGAGGGGGGCGGCGAGGGGGCGGGGCCAGCCAGGAGTGGGATTTGGGGATTCTCCAAACTGCACAGAATCTTAGCTAGAGGTTCTCCCGAACCCCCGCGAACCCCCAGCAGCCCACCCCTGGAGCTAAGGGACAAGTAGGGGAAAAAGTTCTCTCTCTGCTTCACAAATCTAAAGTAATTAGGCTCAATAGTGTGTAGTTTTGGGATACCATCTCTGAATTACAATACACAGAGGCCTTTGATCACATAGCTTTGGCTGCCATCTTGGTTCCCCCCCACCTCACATGCACACATTTTTGTGGACATCCCTGAACAAGTGATAAAGGAGGATAGAGAAAAGACAGTCAGATCTGAGGGGTCCTTGGTGCTCTCTGAGCTTGGTTGTTTTCTTGCAGATGTTTCATTACCCAAACTAGGCAACATCATCAGTGCTAGTAGGGAGTGGGGTTTGCTCTGTTTATTTTCTAGTGGTTTGCCATGTCAGTGTTGGTGGGGGTGGCCTTGGAGGTTCTTTGGTTGGGCTGTTTACTGTTAGCTTGTTTGGCAGTTCCTTGGATGGGGTAGTGTTTACTTCTTGATAGTTGGTCTGAAGTTTTTGTTCCTTTTTTGTTCATTGACTATCCCTTTTGCACAGTATATAGATGTTGTTTATGTCTATGTGTCTATTGAGGGCCAATTTGTCAGTGCCAAACTTCCAGAAATAGTCCAGAGTTTTTGGAACTTGGTTTGTTCTAGGATGATTTCAACTGTTTCCCATATGAAACTATGATTAAGTCTGTCCGTATGTTGTGAAATTAAAGAGTTTTCATCATGTCTTCTAACTACTAGTCGGTTTTGATGGATACACACATGGATGAATTCCTGAAAGGCTGGCACTCTGACAAATTGGCCATCGACAGACACATAGACATAAACAATATCTACATACGGTGCAAAAGAGACCATCAACAATGGACCAAATTGGAGACAAGGAACCAATCAGGAATCAGTTTTCTTGGACTTCTGAGATATGGACCAATCAGAGACCAGCAAGCCAGCTTCATATACAAGAGCTTAGTCAGCTCATTTCAGTTGTGTATGGGCTGTTACCACAAATAGCTCAATTGGCCTCCAAAGATGTCCGTCACGGCTGTTGGTGAAACATCAGGACAACAGAAGATTGGACTGCGACAGGGGTGGGTTCTACTTACCTTTACTACCGGTTTGCAACGGGGCCGCACGTGCTCGTTTCGCTCGTGCACTCTTCTGTGCAAGTGCAGAAGCGTTTTCATGACGTCAGGGTCAGTGGGCGGGGCCTCCCACCGGTTTTGCTACCGTTTCTATAGAACTGGTGCTAACTGGGGGCAACCCACCACTGGACAGCGGCCATTTAGCCCCAAAGCTCATCGCTGCTTCGCTCTCTTTTTCTCTCACCTTCATAAAGGTTGAGGGGGATTTTTTTCTCCTCTGAAGCTGCCTGGGCAGGGATCCATGGCTCTTCTCCTCGTTCCAGACGACAGATCAGCTCAGGCTTGGGGATTGCGACAGCTGCATTGCGTGCACAAAACACACAAGCGTACACAAAAGAGGGAGAAAATGACGACGTCGGTTAAATGCATGGCAGCCCACAACCCGACACCAAGAGCAGTGAATGTCCCAAAGGGTAAGAACGTTTGAAGAGTCTGATTTCTAAAAATAATGCAAAATGAAATCTTCTTTGGATTGAGGCTACCAACGTAGGAAATGCTTGCCAGTTTCAGGCAACTGTGGTCACCCCGCAAAAGAAAGGGAATTTTGTATTTTTTTAAAAATGGTTGAATCTTGAGGAGCCCCAAGCCAGAGATGATTACAGGCAGTCCTTGAGTTATAATCATTTGTTTAGTGAACGTTTGAAGTTAGAACGGCACTGAAAAAGTGACTTATAATCTTTTTTCACACTTACAACCATTGCAACATCCCCATGGTCACGTGATCAAAATCCGGATGCTGGGGGGGGGGTGTCACGTGATCCCCTTTTCCGGACTTCTGACAAGCACAGTCAATGGGGAAGCCAGATTCACTTAACAAATGCCTTACTAACTTAACACCTGCAGTGACTCACTGAACAACTATAGCAAGAAAGGTTATAAAATGGGGCAAAACTCACTTAAACAACTAACCTGTTTAGCAACTGAAATGTTTGGCTCAGTTGTGGTCATACATCAAGGACAACCTATATTGGATTTTTAAAATCCCTTTTAAAATAGGAGACCTTTTAAAATCTCTCTCTCTCCCCCTCTCTCCCTCTCCCCCCCTCTCTCATCATCATCCAATCTCAAAGTGGCTAATGTACCTAATACTCCTTCCTCCTCCTATTTTCCTGCCAACAACAATCCTCTGAGGTAGGTTGGGCTGAGAGAGAGTGACTGGGCCAAGGTCACCCAGCTGCGGCTTGCATGCCTAAGGGAAGCCTGCAAGTCTCAGGAAATGATTAGATAAGAGACAGCATAGCCCACAGCTGTATAGTCAATCAAGCAGAATAGAGCTGGAGGGGATCTTGGAGATCTTCTAGTCCAGCCCTGTGCTCAAGCAGGAGAACCTATACCATTTCAGACAAGTGGCTGTCCAGTCTCTTCTTAAAAACCTCCAGTGATGAAGCACCCAGAACTTCTGAAGGCAAACTATTCCACTAGTTAATTGTCCTCACTGTTAGGAAGTTAATTTAATTCTTTAATTCTAGACTGCTTCTCTCCATGATTAGTTTCCAGCCATTGTTTCTTGTCTTGCTTTCTGGTGTTTTGGAAAATAAATTATCCAAAGCACCTTATTCTCCAAAGCACCTGAGGGCAGGACAAGAAGCAAAGGGTGGAAACTAATCAAGGAGAGAAGCAACTTGGAACTTGTTTTAATTGTTCCTGACAGAAAAATTAATCAGTGGAACAACTTGCCTCCAGAAGTCGTGAATTCTCCAACACTGGAAGTTTTTAAAAAGAGATTGGATAACTATTTGTCTGAAGTGATGTAGGCTTTCCTGCTTAAGCAGGGGGTTGGACTAGAAGACCTCTAAGGTCCCTTCCAAGTTTATTTATTTATTTTGTCGCATTTCTATGCCGCCCAACTCCCAAGGGACTCTGGGCGGCTTACAGCAGAGAATAAAACAATGCAACAATATCCCATACAAAAGTTAAAAAAAGACATTAAAACATTAAAGTTCCAACTCTGTTATTCTAATACTGTGTTTCCCCGAAAATAAGACCCTGTCTTATTGTCAGCACTTCAAGCTGCATTTACTCTAGTGCTGACATGAGAAGGAGAAGTGGAGGCGTCTGGAAAGGGACGTTTGACTTTTCACCTACTTATTTTCCCTGGAGATAATATCCCCTAAGAGATGGGATGGGAGGGAGGAAATTCCTTTGAGCTGGAGCAGTAGATTAGGGTAGAATGACTTGGAAGATGGCCAATGAGTGCAGGGGAGTGGGGAACGGAAAGGGAGGGTTTTGGGTCTGGAAGTCAGTGTTGGCTTCGATGAAGTCGGATTTAGAATGTTGTGCTTAATAAATAGGAGTTTTTCTTCAAAGACCTTGTTTGAAATGCAATTTATTTGAGATGACCTCGAAACCTGACATATTTTTTTGAACCTTAAAATAAGCACTTGGCTTTATTATCGGGGCGGTCTTATTATTTTGGGGCGCATAGAGCAAGATGGGGTTCCTCTTGCCATCTTACCTGATTTCCAGCTCTGCGTTTAAATATTTTCAGGGAGGGCTTATTTTCAGGGCGAGGCTTAGTTTAGTACATGCCCTCAAAAGCCCGATTGGGCTTATTATCAGGGGATGTCTTATTTTCAGGGAAACAGGGTATTTTAAAAAAATTGACCCGCTCTCTTTGTGGCAGCCCCTCAAATACTGGAATACTGCTATCATGTTGCCCCTAGTCCTTCTTTTCTCTAGACTAGCCATACCCATTCTCCTGCAACTGTTTTTCGTATGTTTTAGTCTCCAGGCCTTTCATCATCTTAGTTGCTCTTTTCTGCACTTTCCCCAAAATCTCAATAACTTTTTTCTAATGTGGTGACGAAACCCTGATTGCAGTATTCCAGGTGTGGCCTTACTAAGGCTTGATAAAGTGATAGTGAGCGACTTAAGTCAAGACTACCTATAAAAGTACAGCTGGCAGGGAGATTGCTTTACACCCATCATTTTGCTGCAGTTCCCATTTGCACCCCACTAAGTAAAGTGAGGGGGGGAATTTTTACCCAGTGAAGCCACAGTCTCGTAGTTTTCTTGCATGACATCCCAGTACAGGTCCCTCTGCTCTGCGTCCAGGAGTGGCCACTCTACCTCTGTAAAGTACACAGCTACCTCTTCAAATGAGAACGGCGGTGCCTGCAAGGAGGACAGAAAAGAGCGGGGCAATGGTTTCCCTTGCGGACTTCATTTCATTAAGTGCGACATATTTCCCTTCCCCCAACCCCTCTGCTACCTGAAAAGGTTCCGTCATCACCATCTCTGTTCCTCGCGGAGGAGGGAAGGTTCCAAAGACAAACACACACATCATTTTGTCAAATCTGTCAGGGAGAAAAGGGGAGATCAGAAGGGGTACTATTCTTTGAAAAACCCGTTGCTCTTTTCGGCTAGATACACACGCCCTAACATAGAAAGACGATCTGACTCAGAGAAGGTTCGGCCCCGCCATTCTTGAATTGCTCCTATTGCAATTGCAAGGAGGGAAAAAAAGTCTTTAACCAGGCTTAAAATCTGCTGACGTAGAAGTTGGTGGGAAAAATGTAGGAAATCGGAAAGCAGCCAGGATAAACTCTCTTCATTTTACAAAATTAGGAATGGGACACTGCGATGAAGTACAGGAAGTCCTTGACTAACAGCAGTTCATTTAGTGACCATTCGAAGTTATAACGGCATTGAAGAAAGTGACTTACGACCGTTTTTCATACTTAAGACTGTTGCGGCATCCCCATGGTCATGTGATCAAAATTCAAATGCTTGGCAAGTGACTCATATTTATGACCGTTGCAGTGTCCCAGGGTCATGTGATCCACTGTTGTGACCTTCTGACAAGCAAAGTCAATGAGGAAGCCAGATTCACTTAAACACCGTGTTACTAACTTAACAACTTGCAGTGATTTACTGAACAACTATGGCAAGAGAGTTCGTAAAATGGGGTAAAACTCATTTAACAAATGTCTCACTTAGCAACAAAAAAATTGGCTGTAAGTCGAGGACTACTTGTATACCTGGAGCCATATCAGGGGTAGGGAAACGATAACCTTCTAAATCAGTGTTTCCCAAACTTGGCAACTTTAAGACAAGTGGACTTCAACTCCCAGAATTCCCCAAGCAGCATGCTGGCTGGGGAATTCTGGGAATTGAAGTCCACACATTTAAAGTTGCTGAGGTTGACAAACATTGCTTAGATCCATGATGGCGAACCTATGGCACATGTGCCAGAGGGGGCACGCGAGCTGTCGCCCCAGTTCAGTTGCGCTGTGCATGCGTGTGTGCCTCCTGCCGGCCAGCTGGTCTTTGGGTCTCTGCCGCACATGTGGGGGAGGGGGGCGAGGCGCATGTGGGAGGCCCATGCGCACATGCTCAGGGAGTGGGGCGCACGTGAGGGGCCTCACACGCATGAGTGGGGAGACGGGGCGCATGTGTGTGGGACGCATGGAGGTGGGACGCATGCGGGGGGCCGCACATGCCTGCATGGGGGTAGGGCATGTATAGGGTTCGTATATGCATGCACGTGGAGGGCAGGACACATGCGCGGGGCATTTTGGGGGTTTGGCCACATGCTTTGGGCACTCAGTCCAGAAAAGGTTAGCCATCACTGGCTTAGATCAATACCACAAACTATTTCCAGTGATGTCTGTTTTCTGATCTGGCCTACCTTGAAGGGCTGACACACAGTTTACAGTTTGACGCTAACCCCCATTCTGTGACTGGCCTGAAATCACATGCTTCACTCTGCCACTTTAAGAATACTGTCTGCTTTCGAACAAAGATGTTCTGTTTGGTTAGTTTCTATCTGGATTACATTTCTCAGAGTCTGCTTTTGCAAACCTGTCCCATTTGCTTAGTTCAATGTATTGTGCAAATCCAGAAAAAGATTTTAATGTAATTCTGGAGTTATATCATTGTTCACTTTCAGTGTAATTATCTTTTTCTCCCTATCTGTTCAGTATGGAAAGACAGCAATCCAAACTCTTCCAAACAGGTTGCTTTTTAAAAAGAAATCCTTCTAATTCTACTATGAATTATGGACAGCGCATTACTAAAATGTGTGGTTGAATATCTGAGATATAAGCAGTGGTGGGTTTCAAAATTTTTTACTACCGGTTCTGTGGGCGTGGCTTGGTGGGCGTGGCAGGGGAAGGAAACTGCAAAATCCCCATTCCCACCCCACTCCAGGGGAAGGTTACTGCAAAATCCCCATTTCCTCCTGATCAGCTGGGCAGAGAATAGATGGGGGCGGGGCCAGTCAGAATTTTTACTACCGGTTCTCCGAACTACTCAAAATTTCCGCTACTGGTTCTCCAGAACTGGTCAGAACCTGCTGAAACCCACCTCTGGATATAAGGAGTCAGACAAAGGCAGTGCAGGGATGGGAGAGAGTCCATGTAAGATATATGATCATTTGATTATTTTATACACACACACACACACACGTAACAAAACTAGCTGATTTTGAGCCTGTCACTCTTTCTCAGCCCAACCCACCTCACGGGGTAAATAGGAGGTGGGAGCATTATGCATTATGCACCTTTGCATTGTGCAAAATAATATTACGTATATATGCATATGTGTGTGTATGTACACACACACAAACATATATAATAACAAACTCTTTCTGGGCTGAGAAAGAGTGACAGGTTCAAAATCAGCTAGTTTCGCTACCTCAGGGAGGACTAGAAACCACATTCTCCAATTTGTGGCCCAGCATCTTAACCATAACACCAAACCAGTTCCCAGTCTCCTCCCTTGCACATATTTCTGGTGGTTTTAGGGATTTGCACCAGACTTTGAGGATCTGCTCTGGAACATATCACATCCTTCTAAAAAGTTCGCCTTTCCTGGAACTGCCCAAACTTTTCAGGCTTCTTCCATGTGCAAAACACCCCCAATTTCCCTCAAACTGAAGTATACAACTGCATCCCTGCCCCTTTTTTTAATCTCTCGTGGTTTCTATTCTGTCCAGCCTACCAACAGCCTCAGAAATCAGCTCCCCCAATCTGAAGCCTGCCAAAGGCCTAGACTTCCAAGGCAGCAATGGGCAGGCTGACAGGGATGATGGGGCTTGTACAAGTACCCTGTTTTCCCCAAAATAAGACATTCCCTGATAATAAGCCCAATCGGGCTTTTGAGCGCATGGCAATAAGGCCAAGTGCTTATTTCAGGATTCAAAAAATTATAAGACAGGGTCTTATTTTCGGTAGTCCTCGCCTTACAACCACAATTGGTTGTAAGGCCTTGGTGGCGCAGCAGACTAAAGTGCTGTTAAGTAGCACCAGCTGCCTGCAATTACTGCAAGTTCAAATCTCACCAAGCTCAAGGTTGATTCAGCCTTCCATCCTTTCGAGGTAGGTAAAATGAGGACCTGGATTGTGGGGGCAATAAGCTGACTTTGTATAAAAAAGAACACCGCTTAGGGGGGGCCGAAAGCCGTACTAAGCAGGTATATACAAAAGTATGAAGGCTATTGCTTAACGCATTGTAAGCCGCCCTGAGTCTCCGGAGAAGGGCGGCATATAAATCGAACCAATAAATAAATAAATTGAGCCCCAAATTTCTGTTAAGTGAGACATTTGTTTTGCCCCTTTTCATGCCCTTTCTTGCCACAGTTGTTAAGTGAATCACTGCACTTGTTAAGTTGGTAACACGGTTGTTAAGCGAACAGCTTTGATCCCTATGCCATCTGTCTGGTAAACTCGCAAGATTCGTTTTTCTCGCCATGTACATGTACACATCCGAACTAGACTTGTGTTGTTTCTCTGGGTCATATATGTGGGTATATGCATATTTATTTATTTATGTTGTCATGTTTATGTAGTGTATATTGGAGGTGGTGACCCTTTGAGAGCTGTAGGCAACGAAATTTCATTTTAATGTATGCTGATTAGTGTACATTCAAAGTGACAATAAAGTTCCTATCCCTATCATTCCATTCCATTCCATTCCATTCCATTCCTATTCCTATTCCTATTCCTATTCTAGCTTCCCCATTAACTTTGCTTGTCAAAAGGGGATCATATGACCCAAGGGACACTGGAACCGTCATAAATATGAGCCAGTTGCCAAGCATTGGAGTTTTGATCACGCGACCACGAGGATGCTACAACGGCCGTAAGTATGAAAAAAGATAAGGTCGCAAGTCACTTTTTTCAGTGACGCCGTAACTTCAAACGGTCACTCAATGAACTGTTGCGGGTCGAGGACTACCTGTATAAGATGAACCCCAGGGGCATCTAAGGCAATTTAAGTTGTGTGAACTCCCAGAATTCCCCAGCCAAAGTAGCTCCAGACATCCAGAACTCTCCCCTCGGAGGAAGGATGCTTTGAACCATCCCGACCTGCTTTTGTTCATTTTATTTATTTTTTAAAATCCATTCTTTTCTTGGAAAAGGCAGGCGGGAAAGAGAGGTGCATGCAACAGAAGCAAGGCCGGTGGGTTGGTTACCTTCTGTCAGCTCAGATGCTTCTTTTCTGCTCCCCTCAAGGACGGAGGATGCCTCGGCTGGGTGGACGGAGGGCAAGAATCATAAGATCTCAGAGTTGGAGGGGGACCTCAGAGGTCTTCTAGTCCAACCCCCTGCTCCAATTCGAAGAATAGAGGCTGGGAGGGGATCGCAATTGAACGGTCCCACCCGCCACCCCGACGCCAAGCCCGTCTTTGCTCGGCCGTTTTGGTTCAGACCGGGAGCCAAAGCCTCCCCCGAAGGCGCGGACTCTTCGGCTCCATAGACCGGATCTCGGAGCCTCGGCCTCGAGGAAGACCAGCCCCTCCGAGGTCGCCGAGCGGGGGAGCGGGGGAGAAGGAAAAGAGGCGGAAAAGAGGAGCTTCTTTCGGGAGGCCTCGGCCAGCCGAGAAACCGGAGCCATCTGCTGGCCGCGCCGGCTTGCCGAGAGGGAGAAGTAACCGGCGGGCGCACGGGAGAGCCCTTTACGCGCGCTCCAAAGTGGAGAGGGAGAGAGGGAGGGATCCCCAAGCCCAGCATCCCCAGCCGGCTGGCCGATCGGGGGTGGTGGGAGTTGTGGCTGGGCTGCCGGATCTGAAGGGTGCTAGCTAGCTGAGTCCCCGGGCTGGTGGCTGATGTACGATCTCCAACCTGGCGCCCTTCCCTTCCCTTCCCGGCGGAGCCAGGTGAAAAGTGCGCACTGGGGTTGGTAAGCAGGCTTAGTGGTCGGGGATGATTATGGGAGCGACTCTGATCCGAGGAGGTTGGGAAGAAGGAAGCCAGAGAGGCTCCATACGGGTGGTCCCCAAAGCACCACCGCCCAACTGAGCCCAACATTTCCGCGCTAAGTAAGACGGTTATTAAGTGAGTTTTTTGCCCCATTGTACGACCTTCCTTGCCATAGTGAATCGCTGCTAGTTGTTAAGTTAGCGGCAAGGTTGGTAAGGGAATCTGGCTTCCCCGTTGACTTGGCTTGTCAGAAGGTCACAAATATGATCACATGACCCTGGGACACTGCAACTTTAATGAAGTAATGCCAGTTTCCAACTGCTCATCAGGTGACTATGGGGATGCTGCAATGGTCGTAAGTGTGAAAAACGGCCACAAGTCACTTCTTTCATTTCGTTGTAACATTGGCCACTAAACAAATGATTGTAAGTTGAGGGATATCAATCTATCTATCAATCTATCGTCTGTCTGTCTATCATCTATCTATCTATCATTGTTTATATCTGTCTGTATCTATCTATCATCTATCTTTGTCTGTCTGTCTATGTCTATCTATGATTGTCTGTATATCTGTCTGTCTGTCTATCTATCTACCTATCATCTATATCATCTATCATCTATCTATCGTTGTCTGTCTGTCTGTCTGTCTATCTATCTATCTATCTGTCTGTCAGTCTATCATTGTCTATATCTGTCTATCTATCTACCTTTGTCTGTCTGCCTGTCTATCATTGTCTGTCTATCTATCTATCTATCATCTATATCATCTGTCTTTGTCTATCTATCAATCTATGTCTATCTATTTATCATTGTCTATCTGTCTATCTATCATCTATATCATCTATTATCTATATCTATCTTTGTCTATCTATCTATCTTTCATTCTGTCTATCATTGTCTATCTCTATCTCTATTTATCATTGTCTATAGTCTGTCTGTCTGTCTGTCTATCTATCTATCTGTCTGTCTGTCTGTCTGTCTGTCTGTCTGTCTGTCTATCTATCTATCTATCATTGCCTGTGTCTGTCTGTCTATCTACATGCACATAGCTATCATGCTATTCCCGTCAGAGAAAATTACTTTACTTGGATCACAGGATATTCACAAGACATGACAAGCAAATAAACACTTTTATAACTTGATGGCACATCCTGTTTTCTTCTCAGGAGAACTTTCTGAGCATATTTATCTGCAGCCCTTCCTGCATATCTTATTTGGGGTAAGCAATAACTGGCTGATTAGCAAATAAACATTAGTTATTCTTTGTTTATACATATGCCCTTGTATCAGATGCAGCTACAGGGAATCACATGAAAAGCATTCAGTGCAAATTCTTCTTTTTTCTCAAGACTTTTGCCGATAGTGATGTTTTCAATGGCTTTTAGCAAACTCAACGAAAAATTACTTGGGGTGCGCACTACTAAGGTTTCAGCTACGTTTGTTAGTATCTGCTGTTTTGGGGTACCTGCCTAAAGTTTAATCCAGTGTTTCTCAATGCAGGTATTCCTTGATTTACGACCACAATTGAGCCCAGAATTTATATTGCTAAATGAAAAATTTGTTAAGTGAGCTTTGCCCCATTTTACAACTTTTCTTGCTGCATCTGTTAAGTGAACCACTGCAGTTGTTAAATTAGCAGCACGGTTGTTAAGTGAATCTGGCTTCCCCATTGACTTTGCTGGTTCAGAAGGTCACAAAAGGGGATCACATGACCCTGGCACACTGCAACCGTTGTAAGTATGAACCAGTTGTCAAGCATCCAAATATAAATCACGTGACCATGGGAATGCTGCAATGGTCATAAGTGTGAAAAATGGTCACAAGTCACTTTTTTCAGTGCCGTTGTAACTTCAAATGGTCACTAAATGAACTTGTCACGGTCTACCTGTATTTTCTCCAAAAAGCAAAGGATCCATTTCTAAGATGGGCATAGCTTGGCTTGCAAATCACATGGCACCTTCTTGGTGTTCCTTTAAGATGGGGGGACTTTATATGCCGCCCTGAGTCTTTGGAGAGAGGTGGCATATAAATTGAATTAATTAAATTAAATTAAATTAAATTAAACTCCCAGAATGCTCCAGCCAGCCAGCCAACTTGAAGTTGGGGGGGGGCAGTTGAAGTTCCTCCATTTTAAGGTTACCTACAGTAGGTTGAAAAACAATGTAAATGTACCCCAGATTTCATGAACCACAAGGAGCTGGAACATCAGCTGCCTCCCCCATCTGTCTATGTCAAAGCTTGTCCCCCAACGCTCATCTCTGCTAGCCTGCCCATCCTTCAGAGCCACAATCTCGAAAGACGACCACCGGATAAACAGGAGGAAATAAAAATAAAAAAATACAACCACCTGGAACTAAGGAGAAATTTCCTGACAGTTAGAACAATTAATCAGTGGAACAACTTGCCTACAGAAGTTGTGAATGCTACAACACTGGAAGTTTTTAAGACGATGTTGGATAACCATTTGTCTGAAATGGTGTAGGGTTTCCTGCCTGAGCAGGGGGTTGGACTAGAAGACCTCCAAGGTCCCTTCCAAATATTCTATTCTATTCTATTCTATTCTATTCTATTCTATTCTATTCTATTCTATTCTATTCTATTCTATTCTTATTCTTATTCTTATTCTTATTCTATTCTACTCTACTCCCAATCCCTATCGTATCCTATCGTATCCTATCGTATCCTATCGTATCCTATCGTATCGTATCATATCGTATCGTATCGTATCGTATCGTATCGTATCGTATCCTATCCTATCCTATCCTATCCTATCCTATCCTATCCTATCCTATCCTATCCTATCCTATCCTATCCTATCCTATCTTATCCTATCCTATCGAAATGTAAGGTCCCAAAATACACTTGAGTCACCAGAATGCCAAAGAGAGAGACTCAAGACGAGGCTTGCAAAAAACCAGATTTTATTTATGGCCAAAAACAAAATACTGGGTGGAACTAACATACAGATACAATGCATGCGAGGAAATAGCCACCCCTTGGGGAAGGTATAGCATCCTTTTATACCCTCAGAGACCTCAGCTTAGTACCCAATTCTGGCCTAATTTAGGTTTGTGAATTCCTTGTTGCCCTGCAAGGGGGAATAGAAACTTCCCAATTAGTTTTATCTTAAGCATTTCTTTGTTTACTCAATTGGCCACTTTGGCCCCCTGGCTCTGGAAAGCAGGAGTTTATCCAGATCAAACATAAATTAGGGCTGAGGTGTAAATTATCCCTTTCTTGATGGCTGTAGTTTCAACTGAGTTAACGGACCATGCTTTTAGATAGATTGATATAAGTTCAGGTCAAATGGCAGGGACATACGTTTGACAAATACCAGATACATTACAGAGGCCTAATAACAATATGTTTGTAACAGGAGATACAAATAGAAAGGAATAATATGTATTACAGGAACCCAATGGTTACAGTACAATGTACTAGTACTAGTACAATGGTACTAGTATACCAGTATATCATATTCTAGTATTATTTATTATATCCTTATTATTGTTTCCCTTTCACTATCCTATCCTATCCTATCCTATCCTATCCTATCCTATCCTATCCTATCCTATCCTATCCTGTCCAAGGAAATCTCCTGCATCCCAGGCAAGAGAAAGTCTCTGCTTTGCGCCTGGATTTCGGGAAAGGGCTCAGCGGAGCGAGGTACTCAGTGGGTTAAAGAGAGCGAGAGAGGCTGCTTGCTAGAGAGGCCCGGCCCTTGGAGAGAAAGAGGGGTTTAGGGGGGGATTTAAATACTCGGTGCACCTTCCTGTGCTGTTTTAATCTGCCCTGTGTAAGTGGTGGGAAAGGGGGAGGGGGGTGGAGAGAGACTGGCGGTGGGGCTCCTCCGGTGGAGCTGGACCAACGAGTGGCGCGTGGCCCGGGGCGAAGCGCGCGCGCCAGTTAGGTGAGCCGCTTTTGCAAAAAAAGCCAGAGCTGCAAAGGGGCGAAATGCAAGGCAGTGTTTTCCCCGTCCTGTTCTTGAGAGGAGAGGAATCCCGTAACTGCAAAGTCTTCCAAGTCCGGGCCTGCTTGGCTTTCCCGCCCCCCCGGGGCTCTGCGGTTAGGATGCACTACAACTCCCATCCCTCTCGTTTGCTGGAGCGGGGAGCAAGTGTAATCTTGCGCCGTGCAAAATTTTGAAGATCGGGCCTGCTGGCTTCCCTGCTGCAAGCTCTGCGGCTTAGGGTGCACTACAACTCCCATCCCTCTCGTTTGCTGGGGCGGGGAGCATGGGTAATCTCGCGCCGTGCAAAAATCCGTGCAATTTTGAAATCCGGGCCTGCCGGCTTCCTCGCTCCAGGCTCTGCGGCTAGGATGCATTAACTACAACTCCCATCTTCTCACTACTTGGCCGGGAAGTGTAATTCTGCGTCTTGCAATTTTTGAAGTCCGGGCCTGCTTGGCTTTCCCGCCCCCCCGGGGCTCTGCGGCTAGGATGCACTACAACTCCCATCCCTCTCGCTTGCTGGGGCTGGGAGCATGGGTAATCTCGCGCCGTGCAAAATCAGTGCAGTTTCTTGCACTTTTTGGCCGGGAAGTGTAATTCTGTGTCGTGCAATTTTTGAAGTCCGGGCCTGTTGACTTCCCTGGTCCAGGCTGTGGCTAGGATGCACTACAACTCCCATCTTCTCACTATCTTGGCGCGCCGTGCAGGCCTGCTGGCTTCCCCTTTCTGTGGTTCTACAGCTAGGATGGACTACAGCACCCATCTCTTCACCTGCAGGGGAGCAAGGGCGATGTAACTCTCTGTGCCGTGCAAAAAGCCTGGCCATTTAGAGAGGGTGGCTTATGCAGTGGCATCCCTTTTTCCGCAACAATGTGTAGGAAGAAATGTGGGGGAAAATAGTTTTGCAGATAAGCAAATTGTAATGGTGGGAATGATGGGATTTGGAATCTAGTGTCTCTTTTCAGGTTAGAAAAGGCAGATGCTGGTCCTGCAGGTTTGCCAGCTCTTTGAATTGGCTCCTGCAGCTAAATCTGTTGGGGTGGCTTTGATCTGCCTGGATTAACACGTGAAAGCTCTTTCATTCTATTTGTTTATGTTTATTGCCTGCTTAATATTTGCATATCAAAGGTGTGAATCACAGGCCAGGTTGTGGTAGCCTTGGGATGAAAGTGTATTCCTTAAAAGTGAAATTATACATTTTTCATTATATAGGAGACCCTTTGAGAACTGTATGCTACGAAATTTCATTTTAATTATATGCCGATTAGTGTACATTCAAAGTGACAATAAAGTTATTCCAAGTCTAAGAGTTGCAGGATTATTACTAATGTAGATACATATCTATACAGCTATATACTCTTTTATTTAATCTTAATTATCAATCTCATCTTCCACTTCTCTCCTGTTTCCTCAGCCTGTGTATTGTCTAATATGAACCGCCCTTGCACAATTGTAAAGTGTGCAACCAGTTGATTATAAGCAGTGTGTTATAATCTTCCAAAGTGCTTGAATTCCTGATGACAGTTAAATCTTCTGCCCTGTTATGAGGTGGCACCATGGTTTGGGAGTCTCATCCTGCTGTTTCTGTACAGATAGTCCTCGACATACGATCACAATGGAGTCCAACGTTTCTTCTGTAGTGAGACAAGTGTTAAGTGAGTTTTGCCCCATTTTACAACCTTTCTTGCCACAGTTGTTAAGTGAATGACTGTGGTTGTTAAATTAGTAACAGTTATTAAGTGAATCTGGTTTTTCCCATTGACTTCGCTTGTCAGAAGATTGCAAGAGGGGATCACATGACCCCCGGACACTGCAACCGTCATAAATATGAATCAGTTGCCTAATGTGAATTTTGCTCATCTGACCACAGGGATGCCGCAACAGTCATAAGTGTGAAAAACGGTCCTAAGTCACTTTTTTCAGTGCCATTTTAACTGAATGGTCATTAAATTTACTGTTGTAAGTTGAGGACTACCCATAATCAACTATAGGTAGTTCTCAGCTTACAGCAGTTTATTTAGTGACCATTCAAATTTGCAATGGCACTGAAAAAAGAGACTTATGACCATTTTTCACACTTAGGACCATTGCAGCATCACCACGGTCACATGATCAAAATTCGGACACTAAGCTGGTTCATATTTGTGACGGTCATAGTGTCCTGAGGTCACATGATTCCCTTTTGTGACCTTCTAACAAGCCAGATTGTCAATGGGGAAGCTAGATTTACTTAACAACCGTGTTGCTAACCGAACACCTGCAGTAATTCGCTTAACAGCTATGGCTAGAAAAGTCGTAAAACGGTGCAAAACTCACTTAACACATATCTCAACAGCATAAATTTTGGGCTCCACGGTGGTCGTAAATTGAGGACTATCTGTAACTGGATGTGTCTGGGCTGAAAAGCCTTCTGAGATCATCTGTGTAGTGATTCTATAGAGAATCAGGAAGTTACTTAATATACATTTCGATTTTGATCTTGACAGAGATAAGCCAGATCTGTTACCAAAGCCAGGAGAAGAAAACAAGGAGAAAATATGCGGAAAAGGCTCTGATAGAAACCTCTCTATTTCACATGGGTATAAGAGGGGGAGGAGTTCCAGTACAATCAGACTTGCAAGATTCTGCTACAATAGCCACTCCCAATACAGGTATTCCTTGACTTACGACCACAGCTGAGCCCAACATTCCTGTTGTTAAGTGAGACATTTGGCAAGAGTGTTTTGCCCCCTTTTACGACCTTCCTTGCCACAGTTGTTAAGTGAACCACTGCAGTTGTTAAATTAATAACATAGTTGTTAAATGAATCTGACTTTCCCTGTTGCCTCCTTTGCTTGTCAGAAGGTCGCAAAAGCCGATCCCATGACCGTGGGAGACACTGCAACTGTCATAAGTACATGCCAGTTGCCAAGCGTCTGAATTTCGATCACGTCATTGTAGGGGAGGCTGCCACGGTCGTGAGTGTGAAAAATGGTCCTAAAATCACTTTCAATGAAGGCAAATCGCTTTTTTTTCCAGTGCCTTTGTAACTTCAGTCACTGAATGAACTGTCGTAAGTCAAGGACTTCCTGTAAAAATCGTTTTAGCCCTCCTGGGGAAATGATTCTTGGCCTGGTCTTGTTGCTGGGCTGACAGTTTCTCTCATTCTTTATTTTTCTCCTCAGAGAGTGCCACTTTGCTGCTGAATTATGTCGCACGGCCTATTGCTTCTTTAAAACCTGTCCCATCCTGGAGAAAACTGCCTTATTTGCCAGCTGTATTAGAGAGAGAAATTCTGGATATTCCTGCGACCTTCCGGCCCAAGATTGACTGAAATTGCAAACTTCGTGGTCAGCGAGGCCTGCTTTTCGAGAGGCCATGGCGGCTGAACAGAAGGCCAGAAGAGCCGATGGCATCCCAAGACAGAGAGGGGTCAAAATGGAAGAGCGTCAAACCGTCAGCCCCCGAGGTGCAGAGGGAACGGACCGTGCAGGGAAACTGCCTCGGGTCCTTCAAGTGGGCACCATTCGAGAGTTCCTGAATTGGGCTGCCCCACGGCAAATGAAGCAGGAGCCCAGGGAGGACTTGCCCGAACTCTGGGAAGCCCAATGGCAGGAGTTCCTCACTGCGCTCCGGTCCTCTCCTCTAGGGGAGGGACACCAGCAGCTGTCCGAGGGACCTGCCCCATTGGGGGACAACAAAGCCTTCTTCGCCTCCTTTGAACGTCTGGCTGGAACCTGCCAGGTGCCCCGCCGAGAATGGCTGGCTCGCCTGGTGCCCGTGTTGGGTAGGGAAGCCAAGGAGACGTACAGTAGCCTCAGCCTCCAGGACCGAGGCGAATACGCCAAAGTCAAGGCGGCCATCTTGAAAGGGGATGCCCTCCGGATGGAGGCGCAGCGCCAACGCTTCCGGCAGTTCCGCTACCACGAAGCCTGGGGACCCCGGGAGGTGTGCAGCCAGCTTCGGGAACTGTGCCGGGGGTGGCTGAAGCCGGAGAAGCACACTAAGGAGCAGATGTTAGACCTTCTGGTTCTGGAGCAGTTCCTGACCCTTCTACCTCAGGAGATCCAGAGCTGGGTGAGAGAACACGGCCCGGAGTCGTGTGCCCAAGCTGTGCCCTTGGCAGAGGCCTTTCTGATCAGGCAGCAAGAAGCCGAAAGAAAGGGGAAGCAGGTATGTCCGACAGGACTGAGCTGCCTTGTCCTTGGTGCAAAATGGTCGTGCAGTGATGAATTTAAGTGTTTTGTATTTTGCCGAAAGAGATCTTATCACAGATAGTCCTCGACTTTACGACCACAATTGAGCTCAACATTTCTGTTGCTAAGTGAGACATTTGTTAAGTGAGTTTCACGGCCCACATTCCATTTTACGACCCTGCTTGCCTCAATAGTTAAAAGAGAACCACTGCAGATGTTAAGTTAGTAACACGGCTGTGAAGTGAATTTTGTTTCCCCGTGGACCTTGCTGGTCAGAAGGTCGTAAACCCTGGGACACTGCAACTGTCATAAATATGAGCTGCCAAGTGCCTGAATTTTGATCGCATGACCGTGGGGACGCTGCAACGGTCGTTAAGTGTAAAAAACGATTGCAAGTCACTTTCTTCAATGCTGTTGTAACTTTGGTCACTAAACGGAACTGTTGTAAGTCGAGGACTACCTATATCCATGATGGCGAACGTATGGCACGCGTGCCACAGGTGGCACACAGAGCCATATCGGTGGGCACGCGAGCTCAGCTGCGCACCAGCCAGCTGATTTTCGGGCCTTCTGGGCCCACCGGAAGTAGAGAAACAGGCTGTTTCCTGCCTCCGGAGGGTCTGGGAGTGGGTGAGGAAGGCCTGTTTTTTGCTCTCCTGAGGCTTTCTAGGAGCCTGGGGAGGGCGAAAACAGCCTTCCCCACCCCCCAGAGGGCCTCCGGTAGGCTGTTTTGGCCCTACCCAGGCTCCTAGAAAGCCTCTGGAGCCTGGGAGGACGAAAAATGGGCCTACTGTGCCATCGTGTGTCAAAAGCAGGGGGTGGTGGTAGTATCGCATGTGCGGGGGTGGGGCGCATAGAATAATGGGTGTGGGCATGCGCACGTGCCCCCCGCCTTTGGCACTCAATGGCAAAAAGGTTAGCCATCACTGACCTACATATTCATCCCAACTGCATCTCAACTAGTGCAAGAATTTTTGGAAGGAGGCAAAGGTGATATGAATATACGAATACGTGCGTTATGACCATAATTGAGCCTGGATTTACGGCCAAAAGTCATATTGGTTAAGAGAATCATTACACAACCAACTTTTATTTCATGACAACTTTTGCCACAGTCGTTAGGCAAGTTGATGATCATTAAGTGAATGCTGCAGTAATTGAATCAGAATAGATTTGGAAGGGACCTTGGAGGTCTTCTAGTCCAGCCCCCTGCTCAAGCACTGAAAAAAGTGACTTATATCCTATCTTAGGCTGTCCGAGCATCCTCATAGTCACGTGATCAAAATTTGGACACTTGGCAACTGGCAGGCATTTATCATGGTTGCAACATCACGTGATCACAATTTGCAACCTCCTCTGCTGGCTTAACAACAATCAGTGTCAATGTGGGAAGCCGAGTTCACTTAAGGATGGTGGCGATTCGCTTAACCACGGTTGCCAAAAAGGTTGTCAAATTGGGCTCAGTTAACAACCGGCTTGCTTAGCAGTGGAAATTCTGGTCCCAACTGTGGTCGTAAGCCGAGGACTACCTGTAGATTCTAGCAGTTTTGGTGGGACATACTTGTAGTCCTAGACGTACGACAGTTCGCTTAGTGACCATTCAAAGTTACAAAGGCCCTTAAAAATGTCACTGACTGTTTTGCACACCTATGAACAGGGCAGCATCCCTGTGATCAAAATTCAGACTGTTGGCTTCAAATTGGCTCATACTTACGACGGTTGCAGTGTCCCGGGGTCATTTGGTCACCCTTTGTGCCTTTTTGATCCTGCAAAGTCAATGGGGAAACCATATTCACTTAAGGACAATGTTACTAATTTAACAACTGCAGGGATTCTCTTAACACCTGGAGCAAGAAAGGTCGTAAAACGGAGCAAAATTCACTTTGCAAACATCTCACTCAGCAACTGCAAGTTTAGACTGATTAGTTGGTTGTACAGTAGTGGCCAAAATTGTGGAAACCTTTTGGGGAAAAGTATTTTCTAAGATTAGCTAATAACACCACTTTTTTTTGGGAGTAGTGCCGTAAAATTATATATCAATGGAAAGATAATTTAATCAAGAATGTAATGCAATGACTTTTATGACGGATTTGCTATTAGAATAGCAGTTACAGTATAAAGAAGAAAAGTCAAACACGTAGAAAAAACAAGATATACAAAAATGATCACGTCAGTACTTAATTGGGTAACTTTTAGCATGAATTACGGCCTTACAACGTCTTCCCATGGAGTGAATCAAGTCTTTTAGTTCTGCAGCTGTTATCATATGAAACCAAGATAGAATGATTGCTTCTATTAACTGGGTTTTATTGCTGGGTCGCTTCTGACTAACAAGTTTCTTTAGTCGGCTCCATAGATTTTCAATTGGGTTAAGGTCTGGGCTATTCCCAGGCCATTCCAGCAGTAGAATATGATTATCTTGAAACTCCAAAAAAAAAAAAAAAGTTGTGTTAGTAGCCATCAAACCTCAAAAATACACTTTTTCCAAAAGGTTTCCACAATTTTGGCCACTACTGTAAGTTGTGGACTACCTATATATTGTCTGATTGGAGTTGGTGATAAACAGGAGCTTGGCAAAAACCTGGAAAGGAGTGGCCAGGAATAAGATCGAGTAAACTTTATCTTTTTTTTAAGAATGTTTTGCACAATCCACCATATTTTTATCCAGAATGCTTTGATTTTTTTACATGTCCACCATATATGATAATCCATGGCTTCATCACACTCATATCTCCAACACTTAGATTGTAAACTTGGATACATACAAGCTAACTTTTTAGGATCTAAGTGCCATCTATAAAACATTTTATAAAAATTTTCTCTCATATTTTGAGCTTGCGTAAATTTTACATTTCTAACCCATATTTTTTTCCACGTTTCCATCATTATTGGTTCCTCAATATTTTGTGCCCATTTTATCATACAATCTTTAACTAACTCCGTTTCTGAATCTATTTCTATCAATGTATTATACAACCTTTTTATATGCATTTGACTCTGGTCTCTGATTTGTTTTACCAAGTTTTCATCCGTTTGCATGGTACCAATTTTCTGATCCTCTTTCCATCTAGCTTGTAACTGTCCGTACTGAAACCAAGTTTGAATTATCCTTTCTTCTTTTAGTACATTCAAAGACTTTAACTGTAATATACCTCTTTCCATATTGAGAAGCTCTTTATATGTAATCACATCTTGCTTTTGTTCTACATTTATATTCTCTATCGCATGTCTGGGTACTGCCCATATAGGTATCTTATCATTTAATTTGTATCGATACTTTCTCCAGACACGCAATAAAGCATTCCTTAATATATGGCTTTTAAAAGTCTTATCCACCTTCTTGTCATATAATAAATAAGCATGCCAACCATATAACAAATCATATCCCTCAATATTCAAAATTTTTCCTTCTGTTAAATTAATCCAATCACTAATTGCTGATAGGGCAGCTGCTTCGTAATATAATCTTAAATTGGGCATTTTGAGACCTCCTCTTTCACGTATATCTTGCAGTATCTTTAATTTTATTCTCAGTCTTTTCCCTGCCCAAACGAAATTATTAATACCCTTCTGCCATTCCCCCAAATTTGCATCTTTTTAAAGTATTGGTATCATTTGAAAAAGAAATAAAAACTTAGGCAAAACATTCATTTTTATTGCTGCTATTCTTCCCAACAGAGACGATTGTAGTTTTTTCCACTTGTCCATCTCTTTCTGTATTTTTTGCCATAGCGGTTCATAATTATACTTATATAATTTCACATTTGAAGTTGTAATATAAACCCCTAAATATTTAACCTTTTTTACTATTTCAAATCCTGTTATTCTTTCTAATTCTTCTTTTTGATTTGTAGTCATATTTTTAGTTATTATCTTTGTTTTCCCTATATTTATTTTAAAACCTGATACTTGACCATATTGATTAACTATATCCATTAAACCTATAGCTGATTGCACTGGTTGGGTTCAAGTTATAACCAAGTCATCTGCAAATGCTCGTAATCTGTAATCATAATGCCTAATTTTAATTCCCTTTATTTTATCTGACTCCCGTATTTTGTTCAGCAAAAATTCAAAAGTCAAAATAAACAATAAGGGGGACAGGGGACATCCCTGTCTTGTTCCTTTTTCAATTTTGAAGGTTTCTGTTAAGCTACCATTAATTATTATTTGTGCTGTTTGTTCCTGGTATATTGCCTTAATAGATTGTGTAAAATACTCTCCAAACTGCATCTTTTGTATTATTTTCAGTAAAAAATGCCAATTCCATCGATCAAATGCTTTCGCCGCATCCAGAAATATAAGCACTGCAGGGACACTGCAGGGATAAGATCGCCTTTTAAGGCCTTGCTTTCTGCTCTTCTTTCAGACTCGGGGAACTCAAGTGGTGAACTGGGCTGAAATAAAACCATCTTCTGTGGGTGCTGGGCTGAAGCGGATTCACCGAGAGTTGAATCAAGATGCCAGAATCCTGGGTAAGAATCTCCTGCCTTTTGGTTCTTTGGAAGCTGTAAGACCACCTGTCTCAATCAGCTGTTCTCCAGGGTTGTGGGGACGCCAAGACCTAGAATTCCGGTCCAAAAATCAGGGGTACTAATAATTCTGGGTATTGCAGCCTCAACATATCTAGAAGGTGGCCCTGTGAATCCTGTCAATTTTGGTGGAGCATGTTCTGACTTAGGCTTCTCCAGCAGCACGAAGCTGAGTCCTCATCCCGATTAACCCCTTTTGTTTAATTTACAGTGAATTCCTCTCCAGCAAAGTCTTTCCTCTCCCACAGTCTTTCAAGATAGTTCACAATTACCGACCCTTATCAGGCTTGGAGAGTGGCCAGGCCGATAGCTTTCAGACTCCACAATACTTGGCAAGAATGCAGGAATGAACTAATTGTCTTCTGCAAACTCCACTCCCCTTTCGTTCCTCTTTTGTTCCCTCTGGGAGGGGCCATTCATCGTCCACCTGTGGCCTTACTCCCAAGTCGACCCTTGTTCTTTAGCGGTTACCTCTGTCTAGCAACTGCACATGGGCACACTGGGAACAGGCTCCAGCTGTTTGTCTGCCTCACTGATGACTGACTCCAAAGGCAGCTGATAACTCGCATTCGGCCCTGGCCCCATCTCTGCCTCCGACACAAAGCCCTCATTAGAGCCTTCCCCAGACTCCAGGACTGGCCCATGTTCCTCCCTAACCTCCTCACTGTCCGAATCTGCTGCCAGATCCGCTGGCCGCTGGCGGGCCACAACAGAGCAAGCAGAAATGACTAGATATGCAGTAGATTAGAGGTCCCCAACTCCTGGACCACAGACCGGTACCGGGCCGTTGGCTTGTTCAGAATTAGGCCGCACAAGTAGTGGGCAGTCACGTGGAACCATCCCCTCTCCACACACACAAACCCTGCCAGCACCAGTCCACAAAGCCGGAAAGATGGAGAGCGCTGCAATAGATGATCCTGAAAGTATCCTAAGTTTGCTTCATGTAGGGCTTTGTAGATGGCAACCAGCCCCTTGAATTGTATTTGAAAGCTGGTTGTCAGCCTTCCCAGATAGAGCAGACAGAAAACACAACCGGATGAGCTAAACTCTATTTTATTTTTAGGCTATATTAACCGACCAGCGTAAACCTGAAAGTACAAATTTCCTGCTGTTTCTATTTATAGACTGATAAGTTAGGCTGAGGTTCCTTTCCAACTTTCTTTCTCCGCCTGTTATGCAGCTGTGGGCTATGCCCCCTCTTATCTGATCATTCCCTAGGCAGCAGCATCTCTCCCCCCCACACCCAATCCTGCACATCCCAAGGTCATTCCCACAGAATGGGATGGTTTGCCGTGGCCAACTCACCATGGCCACGGTCAACTCGTGGACATATTCCACCTGGGATAATTCAACGTGATGTTATCTACCTCCGTTTCTTTGATATCAAGAGCATTTGTGGTCCAGTGATTAGAATCCAATACTGCAGGCTACTTCTGCTGACTGCTGTTGGCAGTTCGATTTTGACCGGCTCAAGGTTGACCTAGCCTTTCATCCTTCTGAGGTCAGTAAAATGAGGACCCAGATTGTTAGGGGCAAGAGGCTGACTCTGTAAACTGCTTAGAGAGGGCTGTAAAGCACTGTGAAACAGTATATAAGTCTAAGTGGTCTTCCTAATATTATTTTTGTCAATGAAAATAATGTCAAAGAAACAATGGCGGATAACCTTTATCACTTCATGTGGAATTGTCCATTTGCAAGTTATCCTGCAGTGAGTTGGTTGCAGCAAGATAACCGTGGTGAGTTGTTCGACCGATACCGTCATCCCCTAGTGCAGTTTGCCGAAGACAGGTGCGACTTGGCCTTAATGTGAAGCAGCCAAGGCTGCCCATAGCACTGTCTTCTGGACTGCTGCAACTTGCAAACACTCTTCAAGGGCAGTCCCAGGTAGAGCACACTGTAGTAGTCCAGCCAGGAAATGACTGTGCAGTGGGGGTGTGGAGGGACCCCAAATGTTACTGGACCACCAAGTAAAGCTTCTTGTTCCTTTTTGTTTCAGACATGGGGAACTCTAACGGGGAGCATGCCGAGAAGGCCCTGAACCGAATTACCGAAAACGGGTTGAAGGCTCCCGGCAGAGCCCAGCTGGGCCAGAGGAGCTTACAAAGTTCTGATAGCAGGACTGCTTTCCGCCCAAGCCCGGCCTTCTTCAAACACCAGCGGGGCCACGCGGCGGAGAGCCCACACCAGTGCCCTGATTGCGGGAAGCATTTTACGCAGCGTTCGAGCCTTACCATCCATCGGCGGATCCACACGGGGGAGAAGCCATACCCCTGTCCCGAGTGCGGGAAATGCTTCCGCCAGAGTTCCAACCTCTTGAAGCATCAGAGAATCCACTCGGGGGAGAAGCCCCACCAGTGCCCGGAGTGCAGCAAATGTTTTGCCCAGCGCTCTAACCTGCTGATCCACCAGAGGACCCACACGGGCGAGATGCCCTATGTGTGCGCTGAGTGCGGGGCCTGCTTCAGCCAGCACCGGGGTCTGGTCACTCACCAGCGGATCCACATGGACGAGATGCCTTACGGCTACGGTTGCCCGGATTGTGGGAAATGCTTCCAGCAGAACTCGGATCTGACGAAGCACCTGCGGGTCCACACGGGCGAGAAACCTTACAGCTGCCCCGAATGTGGGAAGAGTTTCAGCTACAGTTCCAACCTCAGCAAGCACCAGCGGATCCACACGGGCGAGAAGCCGTACCTCTGCAACGTGTGCGGGAAAAGCTTCAGCCATTTGTCGACTCGTAACACCCACCAGCGGGTCCACACGGGGGAGAGGCCTTACGGCTGCACCGAGTGTGGGAAAAGGTTCATTTCCAGTTCCAAACTCACCCGGCACATGAGAACACATTCCATATACACTCCTTACATCTGCAACGAATGTGGGAGGAGCTTCGGTTCCCATTCGGCCTTGACCACCCATCAGAAGGATCACTCGGCTGAGAGTTACAGCATGGGCGGCTTGTGGGAGGGAGCCGAGCAGGGCCCTAGCGACTTCATGGGCAGGGGGTCCCCTCTGTGACCGTGGCGGAGTTAGCCTATTCCTTACGAGACTACTAGTCAGGGTGCTAGTCCCTAAGGTATTGGAATATGGCAGCCTGGCTTGTGGGGGCCGGATGTGAGAATAGAGAGAATGTCGGGCTATAGAATTTAAATGTGGTGGTTTTGGAAGATAGAGTTAGGCTGGAGAGAAAAAAAAAAGATAGGGTAGTACAGAGGATGGAGGCTTAGATTGTCAAGTTAGTTTTAGGAAGAAAGCCAAGCCTTCGCAGAAGAGAGAGCTTTGAAGCTGGCTGCTCATTACAATGGCTTCCCCAGGGCCCCCAGCCAGCATATTTTGAGCCTTCCATTATTAGTGTAATCCCACCCCCCTGCTGTAATTTAGCTATCTAATAACTCTGTAGATCCCCCCCATATTCAGGAGCAAGTTATCTGTGATTATTGGGCACTTGTAGGTAATAAGTGAAAACTCTATGGTCTCCGGAAGAGGAAGGCTTGAGTTACGATTCTGATTTAGCAAAAAGCAAAAAGAACCCCCATGGTTGTGAAAAAAAAAGGGGGGGAATCCAGAGGTGGACAAAATCTCTAGTTTCGAAGAACTAAAACGTATTTTATAGTAGTGGCCCCCAACCTTTTGGGAAAGAGGGACCGGTTCTGTGGAGAGAGGTTTTTCCATGGACCGGAGGGTACATGGTTTCAAGTGCTGCCTGCATCCCTCGGATGGGGCTTTGCTTGTTGGCGAGGCCCGATTTCTGGCATGCTGTGGCCTAGTGTTGGGTCAGGGACCAGGGATTGAGGACCCCTGTTTTATAGGCTTTAATTTTTCCCTCCCCTCCCCTCTCCTTTCTTCCCGTCCTGTCCTGTCCCTTCCCCCCCTCCTCAATATTGCTAAAATCCAACTTGAAGATGGTGTCAAAAAGTTTTTGACACACTAAATTAGCACTGCATTGTGATGGTGCAGTTATGGTGATCATTGCAGCTTATGCACTGTGTCCAGTTATCCCCAGTTTAAAACGCCAGTGCATATGGTTTCGGGTGGCTAGGTGTCGTTCTGAATTGGGTGCCCATTGTCTCCCTTTGCTCGGGCAAAGTTTCACAACCTTAGCTTCAACTTTTAGGAGGATTGGATTTCAACTCCCAGAATTCCCTAGCCAGTCATGACTAGGGAACTCTGGGAGTTGAATTCCACACCTCTTAAAAGTTGCTAAGCTTGAAAAATATGTGCTAGACTTTTCAGAATGCAGAAGTACCGTATATATTCACGTGTAAGCCCATGTCTGAGTAAACAGGCCCTAAATAAATTGTGAAAAAACCCTGAAAAACGTGCCACTCACAGATAAGCCAACCTGCATTTTTCATGACAGTTGGGTTAAAAAATTCAAGGGTCTGCTTAGCTACAAATGGGCCTCTATAAGATATACGAGTAATTTTTACAATGTATTACCGTATATACTAATGGATAAGCCAAATCTGATTTTGGGTATGTTTTGGAGCCTGAAATCCTTGGCTTATTTGTGTGCATACATGGTAGATTACAAAAGAGAGAAGGTTCTGGAATAGAATATTGCTGGATATAGTCCAGTGGTGGGATTCAGCTGGTTCTGTCCGGATCGTGTGAACCGGTAGCCGCAACTCCGGGAGGCTCCGCTCATCTGCCCGGATGTAATGCGCGACTACTGCGCCTTAGCGCACGCTCACATTTGCGAACCGATAGGGAAAGTAAGTGAATCCCACCTCTGATATAGTCCTTGATTTACAACCATTTCATTCAGTGGCTCTTCCGAGTTAGAACAGCACTTTAAAAAAATGACTTACGACCGGTTATCACATTTACAACTGTTGCAGCATTCCCATGATCATGTGATCAGAATTTGAGCACTTGGCAACTGGTATATATTGATGATGGCTGCAACTTCCCAGGGTCGTGTGATCCCCATTTGAGACCCACCCAGCCAGCTTCCAACAAGCAAAATCAGCGGGGCAAGCCAGATTTGGTTAACCACCATGTGATTCACTCAACCGCATTGATTTACTTAACAATCCTGGCTAGAAAGATTGTAAAATTGAGTGTGGATTCATTTAACTACCGGAAACGGAAATTCTGATCCCAAGGACATAAGTCATAAGTCAAGGACTACCTGAATTCCACCCGGCCTTGCCCTCTTCTAGCATACTCCATTCTGTTCTTTTCAGCCTTATGTCCTTCATTTTTCCACAGAAATGTAAGCAGTATGCTCCATCCCATAATTAGGTAGACCAGGTTGCCCTGATAGACTGGTCCCACTGGAGGAAAAACTCCACAGATACTAGCATCCCATCAGGTATACCTGAATAATTAACTCAATTATCAAGCTAATTTAGGTCTCCCACTTTGGATTTAGAGGTCTTTTTTTGTGAAATCATGTTTTATTTTTCGCTAGAGCAGAGATGGGGAAAGGTGGCCCCTTCATGACTTGTGGACTTCAACTCCCAGAATTCCTGAGCCAGCATGGCTGACTCAGGAATTCTGGGAGTTGAAGTCCACAAGCCATAAAGGAGATCATTGTTCTCCATCCCTGCTCTAGAGCTTTGGCTTTCTTAAGCAAGTTTGTCCCTTTTAGGTAGATGGGGTTTTGAGTGACCCCCAAAACGGTCTTGTCACAAAATGGCTTTTGTTAACTTTTCCCAACCTGCCCTCACAAGCATACACGCATTCATACGCAAGACCCAACATTTCACAAGATTGCTGCCAAGAAGGCGGTGCTCTTATAAAATGGTAGCCAAAAATCAGAAAGGAGTTTGCTGGCTCCCTTTGCCAACCAACATATTTTATAAAGAGGCCTACGCTTTTCGTTCAGCTGCAGTTAGCTTCATCGGATGCATAGAAGTCATTCGCGAAAGCTTATGTTGATTGTACATTTGCTCAAAGCCAGCAAATTCTGTCATTTGGGGGGAAGTGGCATGAACATCTGGCTAAACCATGGTTTGCCTAGCAATACTCAAGATGGCGGAATTTGCAAAATTGCTAAGGCATAAATCCAGATAAATCCTTTACTTAATGGCTGTTTGCTTAGTGACAGTTCAAAGTTACAACGGCCCCGGAAAAAGTGATTTATGACCTGTTTTTCACACGACAATGGCAGATCACATGATCCCCATTCAGATGATTGGCAACTGGCATGTATTTATGATGGTTTCACTGTCCTGGGATCATGTGATCCCTTTTTTTGCGACTTCCTGACTAACAAAGTCAATGGGGAAGCCAGCTTCACTCCACAACCCTGTTACTGATTTAAAAAACTGCTGTGATTCACTTAACAACCATGGCAAGAAAGGTCATAAAATGGGGCAAAACTCACCAGCTGTTTTGTTTAGCAACAGAAATTTTGGGCTCAGTTACGGTTGTAAGTAAGGACTACCTTTAAATTGATTGTGAACCACGGTTGACTGATTTGCACAATTTGGGAAGGTAAATTTGAACAGGCCCCATTATAATGCCAGGGCCTATGTGTCCCCATTGTGTTAAGAGAAGGCTGAGAGGAAGATTTGATCCCCTTCCACCTTCAATAACTCTAGTTCCCATTAGTGGGTGTCCTTGACAAATTATTTTCAAAAGAACGTGACTTTGGACAAAAAGAGCATCCTTTAGTCCAGGAGTGGGCAACTGTGGCCCTTTTACAACCTGTGGACTTCAACTCCCAGAATTCCTGAGACAGCCAAGCTGGCTCAGGAATTCTGGGAGTTGAAGTCCACAGGTTGTAAAAGGGCCACAGTTGCCCACTCCTGCTTTCGTCAATTAACAGTAAATAATAAAGGAGAAAGTAGGTTTGGATTAGAGTGGCTGCCTAGTTGCTAAGCATCTAATGGGGAAGATGCCTGTATGTTTAAGGAAAGCCCGTATAAAGGGGAAAGAGATTTGATAGGTTTGTATAAAATGTATGAATAGAGTAGAGAAAATGATGAAGGGTGAAGGTTTGCTAAGTAGTAAAAGATGAGGGAAATTGAACGAGAAGAGATTCAGGACAGACAAAAATAAACAAGCATTCCTCGACTTAACAACAGTCCATTTAAGTGACTGTTCAGAGTTGACAACGGCACTGTAAAAAGTGACATTACCTTTTTTTCACACTTACAAATATCACAGCATCCCTGTGGTCACGTGATCAAAATTAGGACACTTGGCAATTGGCACGTACTTACGACGGTTGCAGTGTCCGGGGGGAGAGGGGGGGGTGATGTGATCCCCTTTTGTGACCTTCTGACAATGGGGAAGCTAAATTCACTTAACAACCGGGTTGCTAACTTAACAACTTCAGTGATTCACTTAACAACCGTGGCAAGAAAGGTCGTAAAATGGAGGCAAAACAAATGTCTCACTTAACAGCATAAATTTTGGGCTCAATTGTGGTTGTAAGTCGAGGACTACCTGTAACAGAGTTGGAAGGGGCCTTGGAATCTTCTAGTCCCGTGATTGCAAACCTATGGCACGCGTGCCACAGGTGGCACACGGAGCCATATCGGTGGGCACGCGAGCTCAGCTCCGACGTGCATGTGCGTGCATGCCAGCTGATTTTCAGTACTTTTGGGCCCACTGGAAGTCAGGAAAAAGGCTGTTTCTGGGCCTTTTGTAGGAAAAAGTCAGGAAAAAGGCTGTAGGGCCTCTGGGGGAGTGGGGAAGGCCATTTTGGCCCTCCCCAGCCTCCTAGAAAGGCTCTGGAGCCTGGGGAGAGCGAAAAATGGGCCTACCTTGCCATCACATGCCAAAACTGGGGGAAGCGTGGGGTGGGGGTTGTCGCACACGTATGCGCGGGGGGCGGGACGCATAGAATTATGGGTGTGGGCATGTACAAGAGCCACCCCCCCTGCACTCCCCCCCCACTTTTGGCACTCAATGGCAAAAAGGTTAGCCATCACTGTTCTAGTCCAACCTCCTGCTCAAGCAGACAAGTGGCTGTCCACTTGAAAGCCTCCAGTGATGGAGCACCCACCACTTCTGAAGGCAAGCTATTCCACTTGTCCTCACTGTTAGGAAGTTTCTCCTCAAGTCCAGGTTGCTTCTCTCCTCAGTTTCCATCCATTGTTTCTTGTCTTGCCTTCTGGTGGAAAAACTCCCTCTTTTTTGTGGCAGCCCCTCAAATATTGGAACAAAATATTGGAACAATAATTGAATAGTGGAAGGCCGTAAGCAGGGTAAGCATTCAAAACAAGGGAGGGCATGCCAGATGGGGCTGGACCACGAATTATAAAACCATTGCTTCTCCCCCCAATATTAGAGGGAAATGTTAAGGGTTATATACTATTTTACAGGGTTTTTTTTCTTCCTTGTGCTTTCTACTGCAAAATAGAGGAGGTGGATGTCGTCTCAAGAAACGAATACCATGAATATGATCACTAAATGTAGTAAGGCCACACTTGGAATACTGCATCCAGTATTGGTTGCCACGATGCAAAAAACATGTTGAGACTCTAGAAAGAGTGCAGAGAAGAGCAACAAAGATGATGACGGGATGGAGGCTGAAACATATGAAGAAGGGTTGCTGGAATTGGGTATGTCTAGTTTAATGAAAAGAAGGACTAGGGGAGACATGATAGCAGTGTTCCAATATCTCAGAGGTTGCCATAAAGAAAAGGGAGTCAAGCTATTCTCCAAAGCACCTGAAGGCAGGACAACAAAAAAACGGATGGAAGCTAATCAAGGAGAGAAGCAATTTAGAACTAAAGAGAAATTTCCTGACAGTTAGAACAATTAATCAGTGGAACAACTTGCCTCCAGAAGTTGTAAATGCTCCAACACTGGAAATTTTTAAGATGTTGGATAAACATTTGTCTGAAGTGGTGTAGGATTTCCTGCCTTGGCAGGGGGTTGGACTAGAAGACCTCCAAGGTCCCTTCCAACTATTCTCTTCTCTTCTCTTCTCTTCTCTTCTCTTCTCTTCTATTCTATTCTATTCTATTCTATTCTATTCTATTCTATTCTATTCTATTTAAGGATCGCAGTAACAGAATTTTGGAAGTCTGAAAACATGGCTCCCCTTCTTTGCCTTTGCTTTCCAAGGAATCGGGGGAAGTTCCTTCTGAGGTGCTTTCTATACTCACGTTCCTTCTGTGGGCTGAGAGGCCTCTTAACTGATATTTGCCCTAGCTGTGGCTCTCCTCCTCCATTCCTCAAGGATACTGGTAGTCCTCAACTTACAACAGTTTACTTAGTGACCATTTGAACTTACAATGGCATTGAAAAAAGCAACTTATGACTGTTTTTCACACTTATGACCATTGCAGCATCCCCATGGTCACATGATCAAAATTCAGACACTTGGCAACTGGCTCTTATTTATGACGGTTTCAGTGTCCCGGGGTGTGTGTGTCATGTGATCCTCTTTTACGACCTTCTGACAAGTGGGGAAGCCAGATTCACTTAACAGCCATGTGACTAAGTTAACAACTTCAAAATTCATTTAACAACTGTGGGAGGAAAGATTGTACAATGGGGTGAAATCAGCTTAACTGTCTCACTTAGCAACATAAATTTTGAGCTCAATTGTCCTAAATTGAGGACTACCTGTGTTTCCCCTGACAGTTGCATCCCTTCCCCATGTAGCAGCTTCCACAGGTTTTTATCCTGAAGGCAAGATAGACAGGTAGGCTAATAGACAAAACGAGAGGCAGACAACTGTGTGTTGTTGTTGTTGTTAACTAGGGATTAATCCCCGTGTCTTCCCACTTTTAGCCTGACATGTTAGCCAATAGGTGGGCATAGCGTATCCCTTAGATTTAGTTAGTGTAACCTGGTTTCGTTGGATGAACTGCAACGGGAAGGCTCACACAACACACTAAGCCAAAGTTAGGCCAACTCCTATTAAGGCTTAGCCGTGTGTGAACTCCGCTTCGTTCTCACACATTCAGGTTGAAGTCCAAATAAAGTTCAAAACCAAAGAAACGTTGTAGTGTCGTTTGATATTATGGGGAAATGAGAGGGTTTGGTCATCCCATGTGGCTTTGCTCTGTGAGATTTTTTTTGGGGTGACATGCAGACAATGAAGCTGGTTTTAGAATGAAGGTGTTGAAAGGCTTGGGGGGCAGATAGCCAGGGTTGGGATTCAAAAATTTTAGTAAGGGGTTCTCTGTCCGGTTGCTGGGTGGGTGTGGCCATGATGGGTGTGGCCTAGTCGGCCTCCTGCATCATGGCCGAGGGGGGGCGTTTTTGCCCTCCCCGGGTTCCAGAGGCTTTCCTCGAGCCTCCAGGAGGGTGAAAACAGCCTCCCCAGGCTCTGGAGGCCCTCCAGGGCCCATTTCCCGCCTTCCTGAACTTCCGGTAGGCCCATTTTTCACCCTCCCTGAGCCTCTGCGCGCATCCTGCTGCATCCAAAACGGGCTGCATGGGGACTCCTGTGGGGGCGGGGTGGGCGGGGCCAGTCAGGAGTGGGATTTGGGGGTTCTCCAAACTGCACAGAATCTTAGCTAGAGGTTCTCCCGAACCTCTGCGAACCCCCAGCAGCCCACCCTTGCAGATAGCAGCTAAATAGTGGCAAAATATGCCCTTGGGATAAGATATGTTGTGATAAGTTGATTTGGGAAGAAAAGAGGGACAGTTTTAAACCCGAATTACTGAGGTGATTGTGAACCCAAATTGTCTTTTGCTAATCAGAGTAGCAGAGTAACCGAGTTGGAAGGGGCCATGGAGATCTTCTAGTCCAACCACCTGCTCAAGCAGGAGACCTTATCCCATTCCAGAGAAGTGGCTGTCCAATCTGTTCTAAAAAGCTACATTGCTGACATTTAAAGCAGGGGTCCCCCAACCCCCAGGTTGCACCCCACTACCGATTTGCAGCCTGTTCAGAACTGGGCTGTGTGAGTGGCAAGCATGTGTGTGCACACAGCTCCACCTCTGTTAAGTGACAGGCAAATGTATGTGCACACGTGAATCTCCACTCGTGTGAGCGGCAGGTGCTTGTGCTTACGCGCAAAGCTCCACTTGTGTAAGTGGCGGGCGCCTGCACTCTTGCACGAAGATCCATTCGCTCGCACAAATGGAGTTGTGTGAACCCGTGCCTGCCACTCGCAAAGAACTGTCCCCTCTCCCTGCAAAGCCCCTCCCCATGCCAAGCTGGAGAGGTTGAGGACTGATCTGAAGATACAGGTGAAACTCGAAAAATTAGAATATCGTGCAAAAGTTCATTTATTTCAGTAATGCAACTTAAAAGGTGAAACTAATATATGAGATAGACTCATTACATGCAAAGCGAGATAGCCCTGGTAGCGCAGCAGACTAAAGCACTGTTATTAACACCAGCTGTCTGCAATTACTGCAAGTTCAAATCTCACCAGGCTCAAGGTTGACTCAGCCTTCCATCCTTTCTAAGGTAGGTAAATTGAGGACCCAGTTTGTGGGGGCAATAAGCTGACTTTGTATAAATATACAAAAGTATGAAGGCTATTGCTTAACGCATTGTAAGCCGCCCTGAGTCTTCGGAGAAGGGCGGCATATAAATCAAATAAAAAAAAAAATATTACAAAGAATAAGCTACGCAAACCCAAGCATTAAGGGTGAAGGTACAAAATCTTGGAAACTCCTTAACTAATTCAGTTAAAGATTTTTTTTTGAATGTTAGGGAATGTCATCTTCCGGAGCTTTTTGGCAGCTGGAATTGAGGTTCCACTTAAGTGATACTGACAAACTCCTTATCTGATGGTTATTTCTGTTTCAGTTTCC